AGTAATAGACAGCAAGCAAAAACAAAGAAATATTAATTGGTATCAATCTATCTATTATCTATCTATGTGTGTATATATATATATATATATAGAATATGGATGCTTAACTTAATTGTTTTTGGGTATATTGATATTTGCCAGGTTTTAACAAATGGGAGATTTGAGAGCGTGAGACATAGGGCATTGGCAAACTCATCGAAGAATTCAAGAATGTCAGTCATGTACTTTGGGGCGCCACCTCTTAACGCAACGATCTCTCCCCTCCCAGAATTTGTCTCACCTCAAAATCCTAGCCTCTACAAGCCATTTACTTGGGGTGAATACAAGAAAGCTGCCTACTCCTTACGCTTGGGAGATTGCCGTCTTGACCTCTTCAAGCTTCATCCCAGCAATGATAAATTGGCATGTTGAGCTAGACAAAACCTTTCTGCAACTTCCGCCGCCAGGAATTTAATTAAACAGGAACATCGGAACAATGAAGCGTATCAAATTCATATTATAGCTGGTACTATTTAATGTATATAGGCCTCAATCAAGACCTTAAATTGAAGGGCGCGATGGTAATTCTATTTAAATTTACAGGAAATTCTTTTTATCTAAAGCCCTTCCTTCAATCAGTAATTGTTAATTTATTTTAGTTTTATTTTTTATTGGATGTAACTTATGTTGGGGAAGGTTCCCTAGTCGAAAAAGAATGAAAAAGAAAAAATTATGTATAAATTTATTGGAATATCGTTTGTACTATATATATCTGAAAAATGTTAATGAAGAAGTATATATATAGTGGGAGTAATTTATTGTAAAAAAGAAATGATTTGAGACTTTTTTAAATCTTCTTGGAGCTCATGGTATATTGTAGTTGTACACACAAATGGTTGAGAGATGAATTGGACAAATTCCTGAATGCCACAATTCGACATTAATTTCTATGGGCATTATCACATGTTAAAAACTGGTGAACAGAGAAATCTCACTCACTTACCCTGGCGTTCACACTTGAGTTATAAAACCCAAGGACAAGAAAAAAAAGAAGCATTTGACTAATTAATTAATGACCTCGGTGGAGATTGCCCTCCTGCGTTCTATATGAATGTAATTAACTAGGCACGATTAATGGAAATTGATTGAAAATAAATTCTAAACTAAGTCCAAAACGTGGATTTTCCCTTTTATCTTCAACGTATATAAAGCTTCAATTAGGTAAATATCTGTAGGTTGAAGCTATACACCTTCTATAAGTGGAAATTACAGCATCCAATCCTACTCATAAGGATAGTATACATTAAAAAACCACAAAAACAAGGATGGATTGATTTATCTTCTGTATATGGGAGATTATACATAACAATTATAAAGATCGATGATCTACCCGGTAAATTAATTTGCCCACAAGTACTGAATGTTGCTGTGTTATATATTGACGTAATAATTAGCTAGCTATACCTAGGAAAATTACACAACTCCAAGATCTCCATTTCTCTTCCACTAATTCATCTATAAAATTGGTTTTATGTCGCAATTATTTGACCCAACTATGTTCCCAAAACTGAGTTGCATTCGTTCGATGCAAACACTTCCAGTTTGGGACATGTGTTTGCAGCTAAGACATACCAAGCCGTCTCCTATTAACACTTATCTTAAAAACAAACAATGGGAGCAAATTGTCTTGGTGGATCATGCCATCCTTATTCTCAATCTCACCAACGATGATAAAGTAACGAGTCTAATTGGTAGTTCGAGCAACCAGAGTTTAATAGCCCTTTTCTTTTTGTAATGAAAATGACGGAGACTTGAAACGAGTTTTAAACCGTATTAGGACACTTACTTCTTTAGGCAGATTTCCTAAATTTCCTTCACCATATAATAATTAGTTGGTTGAATCCTGTTGTTTATATATAACAACGGTTTTTCATGTGAAGAATACTTTAAAAATAAAATTTTAAATATACTTGGTTAATGTGAAAAAATGGGTTCTTAAATCGTCCAAAAAGAGATTAGGTTCAAAACTATATATATGGGGATATTCTTAATCATAATATGAATATAAATGTATAACATGATTTACATAATTATTTTGCAACTTAAATATAATAGCTGAACCTTTTCCCAGTTAACTTAAATTTTTAAGATAATCAATCATTTAACTTAACATGATATTAGAGTCTTAGCTACGCCAACATTTTTCTATTTTGGTCGAAATTTTTTGATGTCCTCATCATCGGCCGACCTATGTTTAGTGTTTTTCGATTGTCTTTTTGCAAACTAACACTAGATGTCACTTTCTTAGGAACCGGTGGTTAATTTTTCAATCAAAATAGCATCTTCATCCACAGTCACACGCATCCCCACAGACCAAGTTAGAGCTCTATATATTTGATTTATTAATAAAATGATATTCTTCTATTTATTGACAATGTATTTATAAATTAATAATGCATCAAATACAAACCTTTAGATAAATATGCATTGTTATTCTATTCTTGATTTGGCTTACATTTTTTTTACACTTGAATTCACTTGCAAACATATGGTTTATTCATTAAGCTTGCACGCGAGGGAGAAGGTTAAAAAAGGAACCATATTACTATAATTTAAATTTTTAGGATAATCAATCATTTAACTTAACAAATATTATATTTTTATTAAATTATCCATATAATTTAATTATTGCTCATCCGCATGAGATATTGTGAATAATATTCACTCTTTTTCATGATAATACAGATGGTCCACTAATCACGAGAGGATACCAACACATTCTAATTTCTAGTTTTGCGTCATTGTCATGATTTAATAAGGATGTCAATCAAACGAAAACTATACGCTCATAATGATATGATTTTACAAATCAATGGGTGTGATTTGGGGCCAACAGCTTATGTGGGACCCATGTGTGTTGGCCAACCAGTTACGTTGATGGATCAGATTGTAGGATCGTCCCTAATTCCACCAGTATTCAACTATAAATTTCTTTCGCACTCTCTTTTTCTCGTTAGGATATGAAGATGAAGTTGTCCAACGCTCATTGACTAATGTAAATTACTTAATCAAAATTCCTCAAATGACTTCTATGGCACGAATTGCATGAACATAATCACGCCCAAACTTACTATTTGTTTATGAAAGTAACTTTATTTAGCAATTTAGATCGAATATTGAACAGTAAATAGCTGAACCAACCCATTTCTTCTTCCCACCAACTTATTTGATTCACAGCCTTTGCGTTTTGGGAGTAAAATTTGATTTGCTTGCAATAAAATCATTGACAAATTCAAAAGAGTAGTTAAGCAGATGAAGGTTTATATTAGGAAGGCTGAGAAGCTTAAAAATGATAATGGTTGAATATTCCCTTCAAGGCAATTCGAAAAGCATGGCGTCTTTAGTTTTGTTACTGGAAGCACTAATGATCAGATGCCAAAATCATGATCTTTTGTCGAACAAGGTAGCGAAGGAAATTGATTATAACACCAAGCATGATGTGGGAAAACAAGGGTACCATGGTTGCATTTGGAAGAGCGCGAGCAAGGAGGAGGATGCCCACCCTTGGCAAATAGCTGACTGTTTCATATGGCCTTGAAAACCGTACGATGTTTAATTTTTTTGCTTTTTCTTTTTGCCACTATATATATACCATATTTTTCATCAATTGCGCGCGCAAGCACATACATATGCATATTTGCATAAAAACTATTTTAACTTGATGTTGATCCTAATCAGCATCCATATCTGCCCTTATAGGTCTTTTTTCCGTATTTGATTTCTCCTCCTGTATTATTTTCGTTAAAGAAAAGTTTATGCTCTTGAACATTATGCGCTATGCGTTAATATATAACAAGGATTTGATTCTTGAACATTAAAAAACTTAATATTGTTTCAGCACTAGGATAATAGGATACATGAAGATATGGTATTGTTCGCTCGTTTAAGGCATGTGGTTTTAATGGCGAACATCGTGTAAAAAGGAAAAGGGAAAACCTAAACAAAGACTACTGCTAGCACACTACCCAAAAAGGGTCACAACTAGAGAAAGCACTGCCTTGATCCAACTCCTTGCGTAGCTAAAGCATTAGTTCAAGCCAATATATATCATACTGGATAAGGATTCACTAGTTCCTTGTTTAGCTAAAGCATCAGCCCACAGCAATTATCTTCAGGGAAATGGATCGAGAAGCTGCATAGTGCACAGCACCTTGATCTAATTCCTAAAGAAACTGGAGATCTTTCTTAACCGCCATGGGACCTTAATCAGCATCCATTCATTAACATCGCATTGATATATATAGAATGACATTCCAATATGAGTAATTATGAGACGCCACAACATCAATGTTTGATGATTGACTATTTCCAGATAATTACTTGTTAATATAAATGAAGGCAAGTTAACCTAAGTTTATGATGCTGAATTCTTTGTTGAATATGTTGAGCCAGCGATTTAAACGTTTTGATTTATCGTTACTAATGAAGAATTTGAACAAAGTAAAGAGAGGCATAAGAAAATCTCAAGAAAGTTTTATTTATATTGTGAATAACTTTCTATAATGTTTTGGGATATATTCTTAGAAAATTTGCCATCGTCATCTTATAGGAGGCTTTAATTGCCAAATTCCATTCCTCTTAAGTCTTAATATGAAAAAAGTTAAATTCAGTCACATATTGTAAACTTTAGGGCTGAGGAAAAATAAATCCAAGATATACATAGCAAATAAATATACAATATGATTTAGAGAAAGTGTAATAAGGGAAATTTCTCTATTAATTAATTAATGCTCGTCATTTTGAGATATATATGAAGATCTTAATTGGTTAAAACTTAAATGAATTTTATCTCTGTTAAGCATTAATGCAACGGATCAACAACACTATGCACTTCAGACAAATATATATGATTATAACAATGTCTGAAATCAACAGTAAACAATCTTCTGCCTCGTTCAGGTTTCCATGATATTCACCATTAATTTTTAAGTTGTTTCATATAAATATATATTATTATAACAATAACGTACACAGTTGATATTATGATATTAATGAATAGATTGTAGAAATATATAGAGGCCATCTCAGGATTTTGGGACCTCGTTTGATCCTTCACCAAAACAAGGTGTATTAAATATTAATACATGGTTTAATTTCAAGCAATTTATAGCTAGCACAATTTGTCACGAAGGAGTGATGAACCAAGTGTCTCCTTCAACATAGTAAGTTCCTGCAAAAGGCTCAGCCTCTTCATCCGTCAGAATTCGCGCCCATGGCACTCTTCCTGTGAAGTTGGCTCCTGGTCCACTGCACTTGTATTCTCCGTAGTACACTCTACTGCAAGCACAATACAAAATTTCAGTACTGTCACTGACTTCAACTAGTGTTTATAACATAATCTAAACTCGGTGCTCGCTGAACTAAATATAAGTTTACATATTGTGTAATATTTGGCATATTTAATAGCATTAAATCTACTCACGCATCACGTTTTTGGTCGCCCCAATCACTCCACCCTTGAGGACGAACAACCTTGTCCATGAACGTGAACGAGAACACAACCCTTGAATAATCACCCCATGCTCTACCAAGGTAAACCAGGCCAGTGGCACTGCCCGTGACCACACAATCTTTGAAGGAAAACCCACTGGCCAATGACGCATTGGACCGCTTTTGAGCTGTGAGAGAGGCCACTTCCCATTCAAATAGCAGTTCTGCATATGAACATAAAGCAAGTGTTACCAGGCCCAATTTGGAGTTTTATCCAATTGTCTTGTCCTGCTTCCGAATTACATAGCCATGTAATAATCAGATGGACCTAATGTCCTTGGCAAACAGGCCCAATTGAAGCCCAGCACATTAAGTATAACTTACTGACCTACCTCGTAAAGAGACCGGCCATAGCCGAAAATGAAATCAACAGAGCCTTGGATAAAGCAATTATTGAAGTAGTGGAGACCCTTGTGATCGTAAAGAGTGTCTTGATCCCCATAAAAACTGCAGTTATAAAATGCAGCCTTGGTCCCTGATATGCGCACTGCCACGGCTTGTCCCCTTTTGGATCCAATCTTATGTAGGACTGTGTTCTGCATCAAGCAAAATTGGGCAAAATTTTTATTTTCTTTAGTCAATTGACAAGCATTTGAAACCATTGATTGAGTTTTCTCCTTTATTTATTATTTTTCTGTACTCCCTCCATTTTACTTCGGAAGAACATTAGAACTTACTGAAATTAATCATCACTTGAAATTTTATATACGTTATTTACTAAAAAATTTATCAATCTTAAAGTTTCAATCATTTATATATAAAAATATCAGTAACGAAACTCTTTGTTTTACTGTTGTACACATTTTTGAAATGCATCCGGTCTTATTGTGGCATGGAATCTTCAATTCAAAACTTCAGGACAAAACTGAAAGCAATGAGTTTTCTTCATTTATTTTTGAACCACGTGAACACGGTTTTTCACCCTACAAGAGACAGCATTCCTGATCTTGGAATTTTGGAATGTTTCATGCAGCAATGGAATCTTTATGTCTACCTTGTTTTTAAAGCAGCCAACAAATTAGATTCAATTTCATAAAAAATAATAAGGACAACAGTAATAGATGTCCTTTATGAGCTATAAGCATTTCTATTTCATATGAACTGCCAGCAAAATAGAAAATTGCAAACTGAAATTAAAGAATAAGATTTAGCAATGTGAGACCGACTTTTCAAAAGGAATGTGCCAAAAAATTTCTGCTAATCTATCTTTACTTCTATAATTACTATGGCGTACTTAACAATCCTTGAGGTTTACCTCAAACTTCATGTTGATGGCCACAAAATAATTTGCATCCACAGCAACAGTTGCACTTTGAAATGTCTTCAAAGGCATCCCATCTTTGCCAGAACCTGATGCGGTGCCATTCCCAGTTATAGTTGGTTGGTTATTTGCATCCCCTAGAAATGTAATGAAGGGCATTGTTCTAGGGATGACAATCTTTTCCCTGGAAAATTAAACTTCATTATAAATAGTAATAATGTATAGACTGCAACTTGAATTTAATATATACATATACCTGTAAATGCCTGATTTGATCACCAGAATGATTCTCCTAGTGTTGCGTAAAGGAATGCTGTTAAGGGCTTCTCTAATAGTCCTGAAATCGCCACTTCCATCTTGACTAACATTTATTCTCACTCTGCTCATCTCCGCAATCCTCAGCTTATCATCAAGAACCCCTCCTCCAGCACCAGGTGAGTTAATGAGGGATTGATCTGCTTGCCAGAGAGCCTGCTTACTTCGGTAATTTCGGACATTCCAGCTGAGCCATTTTTCATATTCCGTTTCACTGCCTGGATTACTGGAAGTGCTAGTTTTTATGGAATAATTACAGAAAAAAAGAAGGAAGAGAATGAGTTGGATGTAGGAGTCTGAAGCCATGTCAATACCCAAAAATAATGCATGTGATGGTGAGTCACTCTTAAATATACCATATATTATATATATATATATAGGGCAGAGATTTTACTTCGTCAATATTCCAATTCATGAGGGCATTTTTGGGAATAAATTATCCATGCAGCTGGTTAAAAAAGAGACCCCAAGGCCTAAGTCTGGATTTTTTGAATTTGTTAATATACACCATATCTTGAATCCGATCCTCTCCCATAATGGTGGGGAAGAGAAAAGGGAATGCGGGCATAGCTGTATTCCAACTCCCAATACATTTTACTGCTCTAAAGTCTAATGTCTAAACTATAAGAATAAGGGCCATTTCTGTGGATGAAATACAAAAACTGGCCAAGTTTAGTGGTGTCCAGAAAATTGCCACGATTCTGTCAAGAACCCAACCCTTTGCTGTTGTAAGGCAAAGGTCATCTAGAAGAAGGACGTGCCATTTGTCTTGATGTGTCCAATCACAGATGAATTAAGATCTTCTCTTGTTGTGAGCTGGCTGTTTTTATGACTCTGTATTAGTAGTTTTCATGACTTGTCTTGGGCAGAAATGATCAGTAAGGAATGTGTCACCACATGTTTCTTTGATCTCCATTTGACATTTTGGTTTTGGGGTGGGAGACATGGCAACATTATTTAATTTTTTTGTAGGGATTTTTATGGCTTTTTGAGGACTCGAGTGAAATGAAATTGATAATACTGATTCATGATTTTAAAAAAATATATAGGGAAACAAAAAAATAATCGTTATGAAATTATTTATTGTCGATTAACATATCATTGAAGTTATACTTAAAAATTATGAATTTGAAAGTGATCTAATCAATCAAATAAATACAAAAATAAAAAATTTTAAAGGTAAATTAGAAAACAAATACATGTACCTTCTTCTTTTTATATTTATGAAGTTCAAAATATCCTTCAAGTTTTATTTGACCCTATATTGCTAGATTGTATATTAAACATCAGTTTAAATATACTTTTATTTTGCCAAAGAAAACATCAGTTTAAATATTGATTCATGATTTTCTTTTTCATTATTATGGTGATTAATTAATAAAGCGTTTGAAATAATTCTCCACTATAATTTTGTTATTTTAGAACATTGTCCTTTATATATAATTAAATATCCGTCAAAAACTGAAATGAAGCCCAAGCTCATTTCCTTTGGAACCTCGAGAACAGGCTCTAATACAAGTTCATGAAGCCCATTTCAAAGGCCCATTTTATTTTTGAGGGGCTGTGTAATGGGATACATCTCAATCATCACCCAAGGCCCACAGCTTGCTTTTTCCTTTTTTTAAAAAAATCAAACAGTAACTTTCACCTTCCTTTTTATTTTGGTAAATTTGAAATCATTACGTTGAAGACTAGTTCAAATTTTCCTTAATATTCCTCAATATTTCAGTTCTATTTTTCCATATTATTTCAATTTTGACCACTTATGTCACGAAGTTTTGTGTGAGATTTACGTTGGTCTATATAATAAACATCATACAGAGGGACAAGAGTCTATAGACTATAATTAATTAATTGTAACAACTTTGAATAATATGATGGGTGATAATTATGAAAATTTTGAATTTTTAACTCTCCTTTTATATTTTAAAAAATGAAATATGGAAGCACGGGTCTGTCAAGTTAACAGGTGACAAAGAATTTAAACCATAATTTGGTTGAAATTTGTAATTTAATTAATTGAAATTTGAAAATTAAAAAAAAAAAAAAGTGAAGTTCGTGCAGCAAAGGAGCGTCCATCAGGCTAACGTAAGCAGTGACTGCATTCTGATAGAAAGAGAGGACCGTTTTTCAGCCAACAAATTCAGTTTAAAACTCCACTAAAACGTTTACTTGGAAAGTCCTAAAACAATTGGCTCTTGCATCTGGAAAAACCACCCGGCGTTTCCATTCAATATTCATGCCTTTTTACTTTTTTTAATTAGGTTAAGCTAGGCTAAGCTTACAAGAGTCAAGCCAGCCTAGCACCTATGCCTGCCTGCTTGCCAGCCAGCCCTGCTTACTATTTTTTGCGTAATCAAACTCATTTTCCTTTTAATTTCCATCTTTCAATGAATAATATTGAACTCTGTTTCTGAATCTTATAATACTTATGAAGAAAACATATATATATATATATATTTAATAATCAAATCGAATGCCAAAATCAACATTGTAGATATCTTATGGCGAAAAATGTGAGGAAAAATTTTCATCTTCACAATTATTGTTGGACAAACCTAAACAAAAAGGTTTTCAGATTTGATGATTTCTTTCTTATTTGAAGAACATGGAATCAGCCATGCTGAGAACTTTAATAAAGTTGCCAAGAATGGGGGAGTGTTGGGAATGTAATTATGGGCTTTTGGCCAGGTCAACTGTTCCTATGTGTTCAAGTTGACGGCCCAATGCGTGTCAAAACGAGGATGAATCGTTAGACTTTTGGAGGGTGGACATGGTTTCAAGGGTTGCGGCAGTAAGTGCTCCAGTCGCGGAGAAAGCCTATAGCCACCGTTGAATCCAGTGAAACATGAATCCTTTTTCCTCTAAGGAGGCCTGCAAGGTAATTAGCTTTTTTTTCCTTTAATCTCATATACATATATAATATCATATAAAATTACTGAAAAAAATGTATTGATGATTTACGTCAACAATCTGTTGTCATGACACCAAAAAAAAAATATTGCTATTACATAATTTACTAAAAAAACTCATTAATAAAACTTAAAAATAATAATCTCTTAATATAAAATACATATTTATTTCATTTATTATTTAATACATAATTTTTTAAGAAGTACATAAATCATATTTAAAATTTTCAAATTCAAAATTAAAATATATTTTAATAAATTTATAATCTTATTTTTTAATTTATATAATCATTTATATAATAAATAAATAAATAAAAATAAAATAATGAACCGTACATTGCTCGGATTTTTAAATAAATCTGTGCCTGTCCATCAATTGAGCTGCTTAATCAACAATCTCCAAGTTGCAGCAGTCACGAGTGCTAATTCTTTACGGTCATTGTCCTATTCCTCTCGCTGCCACTTGAATTACTCATTAAGTACTGAAAAGATTGTTGTAGGCTAAAACAAAATAAATTTAAAATATGATTTAATTTAGAGAATTTTTTTAATATGTCAAATTATATGTCTTAATTTTATTTCTAAAATTTTTAAAATAAATATTAAATTTGATAATTCATATTATTATATCATATAAAATATTATATTTTATATCACAACTCGTATCTACACGAAAATATAAAATATATATTTTTTATTTTATTAAATTTATTTATAATTTTTTAAAATTTATATTTATATTATATTTATATTTTTTATTTGTATCATTTTCGTATCATATTTTCGTTTTAAATTATAAAGTCTAATAAATAATACCATCACTTTACTTTTGTCAAATCTCCTAATTTGACAAATTTAGTTCTTTGGTTTTACAATTTCGACTTTTGATTGTTTACATTAATATATTATTCTTTGGCAAAAGAAATTTTCAAAATTTTAAGTTAAAATTAAAAATTTAAAGTCAAATGGCATATTTCACTGCATGGATGCCTAGAAGTTAGACACATTTCTCCTACATAGATAGAAAATTAAACCAAGCTTCTTGTCCTGCCATCGGATAAATATTAGTACAAAAAATTTCAGAGTACTGAATATTGACCCAAAATGATTGATTTCACTGTTTGTGGGAATCTGATTTCACCTCTTTTAACCTTTTTTTTTTGGAGATGATAGGAACATATATCTTGAGATACTTTCTGCCCGGAACTTGTGTTATTTAATGTTTTCAATAAAAATTAAAGTATGAATGCTCGAACAGAGAAAAAACAGAATCGTACGTTCAGAATACTCTAGTTAATGCTATAAATCTCTATCATTCTGACTATGTTGCGTAAATCATTTATATTCCAAGAGTTGTTAAAATTTGTGGTGTTAGCCGAAACTTTGTTTTTAATATACTAATAATCCATCGGATAACAGAATCGCGAGAATGTTTAAATATAGAACTTGATACGTCACGTAAGCGAATTCATATCATTTAGACCTAATCATAAAGCTGCTGCTGTAAGAACCAAATATTCTCTTCATTCCACACACTCTCCATCGAGTCCCCACCACCCAACCAACCATTGCTCTGCTCCTCCGTCGCCTGAAATTCAACGCATCTACCCCATGTGCCCGCTACATTTTCTTGGCATAAACCCGATCCTTTTTGTAAGTTATTGGGGTAGTCTGAAGCGCTTTGTGGATTGTAACAATCTGTCAGGTCAGAAACGGAAGAGACTTGGGTGTCTACGGAATCTGATGAAGTGCCTGATAACTCGGGCAGGAGACTTGGGTCAACCTGGACCGACCCAGTTGCGTTTGCATAGGTGATTTGACTGGTGGTCATGTTGCTGATATTATCCGTGTAGGTGGTGTTGCTGGTGCTGGTGGGTTGACCTGAGGGGGACTTGGATGAAGCACGGATCCGTTCAATTAAACGGGGAATCCAAACGTAACGCATGGCGTCCCTGAATTGTTTGCTGTTAACGTCACATTTAAGCTGCTTTGCCTGCTTCTGGACTCTTGTTCTCCAATAGTTTTTTATTTCATTGTCTGTCCTTCCAGGTAAATGTTGTGCAATTTTTGACCACCTTCAGGGTTTCAGGATCAAACTTATACAAGTTAGCTAAAATCATTCATATGTTTATTGAAATTCAGAAATGAGGAAAGCAATATGGGAGTTAAGTAAGAACCTGTTGCCCCAGCGAGAATGGAGTTCAAGAATCAATAGCTGCTCTTCGAGGCTGATGTTTCCTCGTCTAACTTCTGGTCGCAAGTAGTTTAGCCATCTTAATCTGCAGCTTTTACCGGTTCTTCTTAATCCTGAATACAATTACATCATGTCAGTATCACAAAATAATCATGTGGGTTTGTATCGATTTTGGGTGAAGCAGACTTGTTTCAAGTAACAGGGAAAGAAATAATCGTGGAAAAAATTATTAACCTGATAAACGGGCAACAGAATTCCAGCGACCTTCACCATGAATATTGACATACGCCTTAAGCACGGAGTCCTCTTCTTCAGTCCACGGACCCTTCCTCACGTCCATCTCTTCTTCACTTTGTGGAGTTCCAGATATGAAACCTCTCTCGTAAACATCCATCTGTAAACTGAAAACAGGTTACTTTCGGTCAGAGAACAAGGGTAGGAATCTAAGAGGGGAAGACAGAGAGAGAGAGAGAGAGAGAGAGAGAGACAATTGATTTGGGATTTGGATTAGTGTTGAAGATGCAGAAGATGAGCTTACGAGGATATTAGATAAGTGGGGATTATATAGAAAGCGGCAAAATGGGATTGGACTGACTACGAAAGTAAACCATTTAATCTCATGAATAAACAAGAAAAAAGAGGGGCGTGTGCGATAGAAGTAGAACGCGCCACGACCCACGAGATCAAGTGGTTAAATTAATAGCAGAAAACTGCTATTTTATCGAAAACCCATTTGTGAATTTTTTATTTGGCTTTTGACTGTCTGACTTTTCCACATCTCTCTCACACGCACAATTGGACAAAATGTTTGAATATGAACTATGAAGACCAAAGCCACGGTCATCAAAATGAGTTGTCTTTGTTTATTATTACATGCCCAATATTTTCAATGTGTTCTGCTTTGGTTTGCAACATGTGAAGATGATGAAACAGACCATGGTTTCAATCCTGACTTTATTATTTATGACCGACCACTTCCTTAAACCTTTTAATTAGTTAATTACGTTCACCCCTTTTTACTGGCTTAAGCATTACTGCAATAAAAAGTAATTCTATTGGTCTTTGTTGAGTCTAAAATTAGAAGTAGATTTTTTTCTCTTTCTTATGGGTTTTTGAAGTGTCATTGATCAGTTCTTTGAAACTTTCAAGATTGTGTATCCTGTTTAAATGACAAATGACTTCGCATACGAAATTTTGTTAGCTTTTGGATTGAAAAAAAAAAAAAAAGAGTTAGGTGAGCTCGGCTAGTTGGAGAATTTTATGCTCATAGAGCAGAAAGAAGTCAATTTGGTAGCTGGTACGGATTGTGACTTGTATAAACTGTTTGTCTCTGATTAATTGGAAAACTGAAATGGAGGAAGATTGATGCAATTTTTTCTGCAAATGGTGTGCTGACAGAAGGAAAAAGAAGTGCCTTTGTTTAGAATATTGAATTCTGTGAAGAAACCCAAATTAACAAGCAATGTAGTGTGGAAGGTTGGTGTGATTAAAACAGACATAAAATTCCCCTCCAAGTCAATCGAATTTCACTTAAATTGTCAACTTTTGTACATGTCGATACCATCTTTAAACTGAAAATGAAATAATTAGTAATAAATTTATTTTCTCTCTCATTTTCACAAAACCACAAATTTCGTTAATAAATTTGGTGATAGTTTCTTGCAAGGTGTTCCTTTCACTCGAATGTAACAAGATTTTGGTTGGTGTGGTTCAACATCTGATGACACAAATCTCCAATACTTCCCTCTGCGGACGGTTCTGATTTAACCTCTCCGCATTATCAACAGAACAAGGACTTTCTAATCCAGACCAGTAAGAGTGCAGATATCAGGTGCTGTTGACAGTAACATTCATTAATTTTCCTATCCTACAATCAGACAGCATGTTTTTTAAATTAATAGTAATTTTGAGAATTCAAAATAGAAATGTCCTAAATTTTACTAGCAATTAAGCCCTGTAGACGTTAAAATAAAAGCAAAAAGCAATTAAGCTATTCGTGCGTTGCTAATTAAACAGGATTTAATAATCGATTATTCCACATTAAAGCAAAAGCTGTTTTTATAACTTTCAAAAAGTAAATAGTCAAATTGAGTTATACCCAGCCAAGAATGATTCTCAAAACGAAGTCTCAATGCCTTACCCCCATAGGAGGGACAAAACTCTCAGAAGGTAAAAAAGCCAGCACAAATTCCCCACTCTTGACGCCTATCTAATCTCTCCTACTTTTTCCCCTTCCATTCTAGAAAAGCATAATTTTCGAGTTTCCAAATAAAATTCCTGTCACCGGGTACAGTACGACAATCTAACACTGGAACAGAACTCTTAATTGGTTGATTATTGTAACTTTGCACCACATTGTTTCAACCTACAAACAGCATCAAATCAAGTCCCCCTTGATTTGTTTCAACCTCGGTTTGCATCAATGGAGTCTTCTTCTTCTTGGGGTTTTTCGACACTTGTAAATGACGCTAAGTAAGATTAAAATGGAAAGATAGAAAGTATTCCATAACACAGAACATTAACTTTACCACCTTAATGGGGGTGGTAGAAAGTCCCAATAAGATTGAAATTTATTTAATAATATGTGTTTTGGCGGAATCAATGACTGGAATAAATACAAAGGAGCCACTCAACTTGGTGTTGATCAGTTTCCCAAATATGGTCTCCCTTTTGGTCAAAAGAAATCAAAGGTAAAAAAATTTAAGAGAAGCTTGATAATTAAGTATTCATTTTATATATTTGCTTGGCTAAAATGAGGGAATTTATCTTCCTGACAGGGGACTACTGTGAGTACTATTAGGAATTCCATTCGCAAGTTTCGAACATGACTATGATACTAATTGTAAATATCACAAGAATTTTGATTTCAACTATTAAATTAAAAAATCATGATCCAATTAAACATTAAAGTTAGTGAAAGCATAATTAAATGATTAATTAATCATAAAAGAGATAATAATTTAATATGATTCAGTTCAACCAATTTATGTCCATAAGTGAAAAAAAATACATAGTTTCAAAGAATTGTAAATATACAATCTTAATTAACCACTTAACAATTAATATTATAGACTCTCACATTCTCTTAAAGTTTTATGAAATATTTTCAATATAAACAAATACATATTTATATGCTCATGTTTATATGAACCATCTCAATTGTTTTTAATCCACCCAAACAAATATAACATTCATTCAATGTAATATTTATCATACTTACGTGAATTCTCTCATTTTTCTTTAGTCTGCTATAAACATTTAAATATACACACTCTAAACATTTAAACATATCCATTCATAAAAACTCTATCAATCTTCACTAATCTCATAATTGTCTATTCTAAAAATTTTATACTTCTTATATATTTCTTTCATAATTAATCTTATAAAGACTACATTATTTATAAGCATATAAAATTTCTTTACTTTTAAAATTTTTTTCTTATAAATCTTCTTATCTATTAATGATACGTAATTAATTTCGAATGAAATTCTTACCAGACTTGAGTTGCTATTTCCAATAAGTAGGAATGAACCAATCAATCACATATGATAGTCTAGTTATTTAGACAAGAATGTTGTCAAGATTGGCTTCAGCCTGAAGTACACAAAGTTCAATCTTATCCAAACTTTTTTCTTTCTTATGTAACTACATTTCTTTTGATACGCAAGAATCGACGACATAGCATTCATCATCCTAGAATTTGAACCTTGTTCTAATTCTAAATTTATTGTCCTTGTTTACTGCTTTCTTAATTTTTTGTTTGGGTAGGTGGGGGTGTTAATTTGCTGTAAATCCAGAGGCAACGACCTACCTGATGAAAATCGTTGATTAGAAATGAAGGGGAAAGGGCAATTCCTGGCAGGGATGTCGAGATGCTGATAAACAATGAACCAACGCATCCATTTGGCTGGCCGTATCTTTGAACACGTGAGGATTTTGAAAAAATTTTCCGAACAAGAAGCCTTTTTTCTTACATTCTGATTAGTATGACTAAAAAAAAAAAGGAAAGGTGAAACGAATTTTCTTTTTTTTTTTTGGGTATATTAACTTGCTTTATAAGGAAAAAAAAAAAGAAACGCAAATGGAACTCTACCAATCATCGTGTAATGTGTTAGTATAATACTAAATTTTTAATTTTAATAATTAAAGTTTAATCTTTGAACAATCTTAAATATCAAAAAAAAAAAATTGGACAGACTATTGAAGATAAATTTGAATAAAAAAAAGGGAAATGAAAATTAATTGTTCAGTTCATTATATCATTTAGTATATCTTAAGATGAAAAAAGGAAATATAGAAGGGAGAGAAATATGATAGAATTACACTGTTTTGTTCGCGTCTCTTTAATTTCCTCTCTTTCATGATGAAAAGTGAATTTTGTGGGCTGTGAACATAAATGCTTCAAATTTTGTATTTGTTATCCCAATCACTGAGTTCACAACTCTTGGTAAAGGGCTATACCTCCTTTTGTAAATACAAGCCTTTGGCTCTCTACAAATTAATTTCTCCTGGAAAGTCTTTGGGAACAGCCAATTATTGGAAACCAGAATGCCATAAATGAGCGTTACAGTATTTTCCACCATTTTCTTCAGGCACAACAGGAAGAAAGATCAGAGAAATAATAATTGTTAAAACTGTATAGTCTTTAAAGTACTTCCTAGAAATTGTGATGTCCTTTCCTTGGAAAGAAGCTTCAATGCTCAATTCTTCTTTACTTTTTGCGTGTAATGATAAAAAGAATGGAATAATTAAATGGAAAGGAAAGGTAATTCGATCGCTGACTTGGAAGAAGTTACAAGTACACAAAGATACAGTAACATCTATAAAAAGAGTCCTTCTCAGTTTAATCACACTTTGCTTTTAATTTTTCTCAAGTAATCAGTACTTTCAATCTTCCTCTTTTGTTATAACAAACAGCTTTCAGTTTTTAGATTTCGTTTTAAGGGCTGGCTATAGTTCTTCCATGAAAAAGGCCGTCAAGTTCTCTCCTCCACGTTTCAATGAGCCAGCCAGCCGTTGACTGAGACCTCGCAATGGAGAATAGAAATGGGATTCTAATGTTGTTTCATTTGACATCTATCTATGTATTTTACATATATAGTTTAATTAATGACTTGTTTTGGGATTTCCTAGTCTATTTTGTATTAGGGAAAGACATCTACATTGACAAAACAGTTCTTAAAAGAAGAAGAGTATAGAATGGGAGATTATCTCAAAAGTCGTACTATATATAAAGAATTTTTTTTTTTTTTGCTTAACCACCCCAAATTGCGCTTACTTGTTGCTGACATTTGTTGCTGTATTCAGTTATGACATTGAGATCACATCTTAATATATAGAAAGAATAGAAAGAAGAAAGACATTATTGTTTTAGCGAAACGTGTAAAAATGAAGCAAAATTATTAAATAATGCCATTATACTCTATGCATTGTCAAAGTCTCCCGTCCTAATGCTCTAAATATCAAAAGTTTCCTATAAATTTTTTTTCTAATAAAAATGATTAAATTATCAATTTCATGAAACTTTCACAAAATATATTAAAAATATTGGTTGAACTTGTGTAACTTGAACCCATAATCTCGAAACTCAAAATCAAAGGTACGACTCAGCTCCTTAGGTAAAGAAATGTCATCATTTAAAATATTATACTAAATTGCTATTTTATAATATAAATTGTAGAAACCTTAATTTTATCATAAAGCATATGACTCTATTTAAATAAATAATTTTGATTTGATTAATAATAAAAGCATTACTTCCACGCTTCAAATAGTTGCAATTAATAAGACAAGTGACAAGGACTAATTAAAGTGGTTTTCTTATGTGATGCATCTAATAATCAAATGACTCTAGAGATAAGTTTGCTGCCGTTCCTCCGAAGAGTGGCTTCAAAATGCGTTACAAAATCCGACCCATTACCTTTCGTGACGAGTAAGAGGTGAAGATGGTGGCTCTGACAATGACTTACTATGTCAACAGTGAAAATAAAACATGTAAGCTATTGTTGTGTTGGAAGGATTTTGTTTGTGAAAACTCTCCAGCGTGAAGAAAAAGGTAAATAATAATAATATGTTAATCTAGAATATAATTATTCCACCAAGCCTAGATTCGATGCATCTCTTTGGCAGAGACCGACCAGTAATTTGATTTATCACAATTTTTTATTGATTTCTTTGTAAGAGAAAAACAATGTTATTGGTTGGAAGAGAATTTCCAAGTTTTGATCTCAGTCATAAACTTTCTTTTTCAAAATTGTCAATGTTATTAAAATATTGTCACATTTTTGTCATGTTTATCGCGATCGGAGAAAAAACATTTGTTGTTTTGGCAGCGTTTTAACCCCAAACACACGGACTGGCCAAAAAAAAAAAAACCCAATTCAATGAATATTATTTCATCAAACCCCACCATCACATGCCCAGAGAAAACATCATCGTTAAAAAAGAAAACAAAAACTTATTTCGTCTTTTCCTTTTGGTAAACAAGACAAATTCAAGGAAGGATACAAAAGATTCAATCATAAATCTTGACCTAAGGATACAAAAAAAAAAAAAAACCCAAACTGCAAGTTGATCAGTTTGATTTATTTAATAATATAAAAATAGAAGTTGACTAGAAAGAATCCACACATGCCTGTTAGAGTCGGCTTTCAATGAACGCATGGCTTTTCATAAAGATGAAATTAGTACCCAAAGAGAGCTATATGTTTGACAAAACTCCAGAGTCCAGACCTTTAAAAAAAGATAAACAACTTGTCTAATTAGCTACATTAACCCCTCTACTCCACTATCTAAGCCCTTTTGTTTTTCTCTCTTTTTAAAGATAGAGAAGGATGGAAAAGGCCAAGTCCTAGCCCACCATCAAGTGGCAGACCTCTCGGGCTGACTGCTCATTTGTTTTCGCAGTCAAAATAGAAGCTTCTTGCACTCAAATTCTATTTCAAACCTCTTCTATGTTTAAGGTGTTTATAGTCATCAAAACTGTATAGTAAACACTAATTATTAAAATAATGTCGATGATATCTCATTCTGACATAAGAAATGCATCCCCTTAATCAAAAGAGGGAAGAAAGGCACTAATAGTTGCAATTAAAGAATTTAAACTTCCCTGTCGGATGCATGGTATGGTCCAGCATGCACTCTAGAAGATGTATGCTAAAAAGTAACAGTACAGAATTACCAAAATAGAAGATGAAGATCAAGGCCAAAGGGAAAAAAAAGTGAGTCAGTAAAGAACAAAATAGGCAACATGAAATTGGGTCTCAATTTCAATGCAGTTTTAAGCAGAGAGAGGAAGTATACTGTACTTCATTACATTTATAAGGGCACACAAAAATTAGAAGCAAGATTCATTGAGACAAAATTAAGAGAAAAAAAAAGCGATTTAAAAATTTTTTTTTCATTCCTTTATTGGCATATATCATTACAATAATAATATTTCCTCATATGTCACAAGGAGCATTTAGAAAACTTCCAGCAAGTGAAGGCATTATTTAGCTGAAATTGACCACTAAAATGAAAAAAAGAACAGTGGCGTATTTCTGTGGTTACCTATGGGGGAACAGTACGTCTATAATATGGTAATTAGGTCATAGCATTCCCTAACTAGCATCTTGGCAAAGCAATCTGACCAGTAAATTTTGATAAAATCTTTTGCCACTCAGACATTTTATACGATGCTAAATGCTGACTGTATTGTAGATGAGACACGAGAAGCAATGGTCTGAGTGGCAAACGCTTGAATCTTCTTCTTGGCATCTGGAATTAGAAAAAGCACTTCGTAAAGATCAAAGAAATGATCCAATTTGTAGCTGAGAATTAGTATCACATAAAACCTTCAAGTTAGACTAAGAGTAGGAATTAAGAGCTCTATGATAGGCCGGATCGCAGCTCACCTTCAATCCAAACAAATAAACCCAAGCCCAAACAATAACAATAAAAGAAGGGGCCTCAACCTACCCACTAAATTAATGTATGGTTTGTTTTCCCTTTCCTTTCTCCAAAGAAAAGCAGTAGGGTGATCTTAAGCAAATTCAACATTTTGAGTTGATCTTCGGATAATTGTGCTTAGAATTTTCTATTTTTAAGCATGCATATTCTGTACTTTACTTCTAATTACATGTTATACATTAATGTATATGTAGAGTACAAACTTGTGTAGTTTAAGATTTAAAGCTTGGACAGGGTTCGATATAGAATTATTAGGTTCTTGGCTTATTGCTATCTCAAAGAGAGCAAATTCTAACACAATCTGAAATTACTATAAATCTGAAATGGCAGTATCTCGTACCTTTACGGCATTTGGTAAATCCAATGATGTTGGCAATGCCAAGGCTCAAACAAACTCCCACAACTAGGACATAATCAGCCTGAAACCTTACCAGTGAAAATATTCCAAGGATGGTCCAACAGGCTGCCTTAAAAAGGACAAAAACGAGTAAGAAAGCGTTAACTTCAAGTATATAAGTCCATGAAAAATTGTAAATTTTCTTATTACTGCACAGCATTATGCATATCATTACATATAACTGCAAACTCTAGAAGATTAGGTTGTCACTGCAAAGAGAATGATCCAAGTTCTATATCTCCACAAATGCTAGTCAAAATCCATCGGCTAGTCCCTTTCAACCCTTTTTCCCAATAATTACTTACATTAAGGTATAATGTCCACCAAAACAGCCAGGAATCCTTTGGGTTAATAAGAGCTAACGACTGCGTAGAAAAAGCAAAAAAAAATTACAAAAAACGAAATGAAAAGACTCATAAACGTTACAAGAAATGCAAATTAAGAGATGAGACAACCAAACGTAAGAATATAAATAGCCAACCTCTTGGTCAAGGCACTCAAATTTCCATGTACTCTCACCCTGGTCATTTATCTCATTCCACCACCTAAGCCCAACTAAGATGCGGCCGCTGACATTCTTGACGACCCAAAAATCAAGAGCAGAAAGCACAACAGTGATCACAAAGATGATAACGAAACTATCGGCGAATAGTGCTGACAGTATGTAAAATGCCAAAGCTGAAGCCTGTCAGAATCAAGACTGAAAGCAGTTACACAAAAGGCGTCACTCAATTCTTGAAACAGAGAATTATAAATACTACTACCATAGAAAGATATAGTATTCACCTTGAAGAACACGTGAAAGAAGCATGTTTTGGGATTGGCATAGTTTTCTTCTATGGGCTGCAGAGGGAATATAATCACGTACTGACAGACATGTGAGGGACAAAAAAAAAAAAAAACCAAATAACAAGAAATCTGATACATCTAAAAATGTAGATTTGAAAAAATGTAAAGCAAATTTCAAGGTAAATAAAAAAGGTTCAAAATTACCGGTAATGTCATGATCTGAGAAATTAGACGGTATCAAATTCTAATATTGGATTCAGAGGGAATTTTACCTGGCTTAGATCCATAACTAAGGCGAGTATTCAAAAAAAATTTTGACACTTCTTTCTTTAGAAACTTGTTATGGATTATAAAGAAATCAGAGATTTTGATAGAACAAATTTGTACCAGGGCGGGTCTCTGCTTTAGCTCTTTTCGCTCCTAGAAATTTTCCCTCGTTCTCGCAGGACACATTTTCCTTGTGTCGACAAGATGAACGTTTGGGGGCTTGAGGCCTTGCAGCCTTGGGGTTTTGGGACACTCCATTAGTCCATTAGACGAAAGCTCAAGTAGAGATAAACTTGGACCTGAATTGGGTCAAACTTTTCTTACGAGAGAAATGCAAGGCCTTCGATTGTTCACTAGCATCGGGCCATTACTATTTGGTTTGGATCTACTGACTGGCTTTATCTGTTATCGTGAGTTTAGTGAAATTTACGGGAAAAAAAGTTTTTATTATATTTTTAAGCTCGTAAACCAAATAAGGGATAATGCCATCTTCGGAAGTTTTCTTTAAATTATCCTTAAAAAACCAAATGTGATTAAGTCATTTGATAAAGTCAATAATACCATGGAATGGCCACATCTTCAAATTAAAGGTATTTTCTCGAAAAAAAAAAACAAAAAAACAAACTTGAAAAGTACAGGAAAGTTCCAGTGGCAGAAGGTGGGGACGAAAATTTTCCAGCTGGGCCCATTTGCAATCTGACAAGTGACAAGTGCGGTAGCTGATTGTGATTGTTACTCTTCCAGCTCCAAGGTCCAAAGGCAAAATGCTGGCGACCATGATATGACACGAGAGACAAAGCTCTTTTGACAATATCGGCCAAGAAATTGATGCGGTGGAAGTGTGGAACCTTTTAGAATCAACATGACAAACAAACGCCCCAGCAATTGTGGGTCCATGTGGCCACATGTAAATCGAGAAATTATATATTCCAGTCTCTGGGCCATCACCGTTGCACAAAATAAAATAATTGGCGATCGAGGGCTCCACGTTGGATTGGAGGAAAGCCTCCTTTACCTCTTTTTCACGTAGTCAAAAGTGGCAGATTCGTCAGGTTTCTTTATTTGTCAGCTTCTGTCTTGTTGTGAACTTTTATTGCAAGCAAGCTGTGGGTTTTAATTCCGACGGTTAAGCAAATGGAAAAGGAAAAAAGGAAACATCTCAACCAATGACAAAAGACAAATGAGACACTTGTAAAGTTGATAGATCTTTTAAAAGTTCCATTGTTATTATTTAAATTAAAAAATGTATTCAAACTTGTTCTTAGTAGAAATTATACATTAGAATTTATGAAAATTTCATATTACAGGATAAATTTGGATTGGCAGGTACAATTTTTTGAAGTTTTTGAAGAAAAAAAATGAATATCAGAGGAACCGACCATAAGCTTCGAATCGTCCTGTTTAGTTGCGGAGATTTGTGACATGTTTGGAACTTCGTCACACCTCAAAACAGGGCCAAGGCAAGCAATCACAGTTGTAGTTTGCGGACAAAACTAAGTATTGAATATTAGGAGCAGCTTAAGTGGTCGTGGAGATTGCACCAAACAAGATGCACCTACTAACTGTCTTCAGGTGCCCCTGACATAATCATTTTTAGCTATTAGAAAATTAAAAAAGAAAGAATGCATCAAAACAAATGAAAAAGAAAACAAAAAAAAAAAATAATGTTTGCAATATTATCAGACTTTGTTTGGCAAGATTGATGGAGAAGGAAAATTTCTTTAAATATAGTGATTTTTATATATGTACTTTCTATTTTTCATTTACAAATTCTCAACAAACCCAATCTGAACTAATTTGGTGGAAAATTCATTTTATTTAGGTGACAAAATTAATGGCAACTTATGATCAAACTTTTTCATTCAAGTTTTTATAATAAAAACTTATTTATTCAAACTTAGATCAAAATCTTTCCCTTTTCCCGAATCTCAATTATTCAAAATTTTATACTATCTTGGCACAAAAAGAGGGATTCTTCTACGTGATTCAAGGCTTTGATCTAGCTCGCATAAAAATCCATAAATTGTCAAGAATCATGTTGATTTTGTTACCACTTTTGCTGCCTTATACTGTCCAACTCAAACCCAATTGCAAGCAAGGCACAAATCAGTACTTGTGGTTCCAGTTTTGTTTCATTATTTATGGCCACAAATTTGGATATCATTATCATCCCTTTAATTGTTAATTCTGATCCAACAATTAATCAGTACAATCTGATCAATTTACCTTACCAAATAAAACTTTCTCCACTAAACTTTGGGTACTTGAGTTTTGATTGGATGCATATTATATGATCACGATAATCGCTTTTCTTTTATTATTTTTTTGGCTAGAATATGATGGTGATGATGATAATAGATTATATTTGATAGGACAAACCCTTGGCCGACATGTGCACCAAATCACAGGTCATTAACTCTCTCTGATCTCTCTCTATCTCCAAAATCTTTAACAAAAATTAACAAAAAAAAATAAAGACCTTCTAGCGTTTTCCATTGCAACTAGTAAGTTATGTCCCTACCCAGAACCTTCTCGGAACCAATACTCCCACCGTTGGATCATCTTGAGGACACGTGTATGGCCAACATGCCAACATCTCCGGAACTGAAACATAAAAAATTTGCATTAATTACTAGAATTAAACTCTCTATTTAAACACCTTCTACCATTCTTATGTTTTCAGAGAAAAAAAATAAAGCAAAGGCATAGCAGAAAGAGCTCTCTTCAGTCCTAGATTGAGCCATCTCCCTCCCCAGCCCTTCCCTTCCCAACTCAGTAACACTCTCTCATGGCTCCAGAACTTGTTCAACCTGGTGTTAAACCAACCGGTTTCGCAATGCCAGTCACGCTGCCTATCCTGGCTTATGTTACGTTCTTGGCTGGCAATGGAGACTATGTGAAAGGTGTTGTAGGGTTAGCCAAAGGGTTAAGGAAGGTGAAATCCGCATACCCATTGGTGGTTGCCGTTTTGCCTGACGTGCCTGAGGATCACAGGCGGATCCTTGTGAACCAGGGTTGTATCGTCCGAGAAATCGAACCCGTTTACCCGCCTGAGAACCAGACCCAGTTCGCAATGGCTTACTACGTCATCAACTATTCCAAGCTCCGCATTTGGGAGGTACGTCCTTTGCTACAATTACACGTAACTAATTTCTTGTTTTTTTGACACGTGGCGGCCTTTCATGTATGACTTGTACTTTTGGACGCCGTAATCTTCGATGATGTCTTGGTTGTTAGGCTGTACATATTTGAAGAGAGGTCCACGAAATCTACTTTTTTTGACGATATTACCCTTTATTGATTTGGACGGTTATATTTTTCAAAGGGGGTGTTAGTGTCATTTAATGCCTACATATGTATTAAGATTCTAATTTTGTGTACCATGATTTGTCGTGTGTAATTAGGTTTTTATTTTACGTTAGTTTTATTTACATCAAATCTTTTCAATAAATGTTGATTTTGTGCGTGCAGTTCGTGGAGTATAGTAAGATGATATACCTGGACGGAGACATTCAGTTATATGAAAACATTGATCACTTGTTTGATTTGCCTGATGGGCATTTCTACGCGGTAATAGACTGTTTCTGTGAGAAAACATGGAGCCACACCCCACAATACAAGATAGGTTATTGCCAACAGTGCCCTGACAAGTTCAAGTGGCCTGCCGAGATGGGTCATCCCCCTTCTCTTTACTTCAATGCTGGCATGTTTGTGTTCGAACCCAGCCTTACGACCTATGAAACTCTCTTGAACACCCTCGAAATCACCCCTCCTACCCCTTTTGCTGAGCAGGTGAGTTGAAAAGTCTTAAAATTGAAGTTGTTAAAAAATAAAGAAAATGATTGGATGTGTGATTAATTTATATGGATCTTGACATTCTTTCTGCGGCAGGACTTTTTGAACATGTTCTTTAAGGACATTTACAAGCCAATTCCTTTGGTCTATAACCTTGTTCTTGCCATGTTATGGCGTCATCCCGAGAATGTGGAGCTTGACAAAGTGAAGGTTGTTCATTACTGTGCGGCTGTAAGTACTTAGTGTTTCACTTTCCCATATCATTTTAAGAAGAAAGTTCTTATCATAGTTCCGTTCTTATTTGTGATTAATTGTTGGTCTCGGTCTTGATTACTAATGGTGTGATTTTGTTGTGTGAACAAACAGGGATCAAAGCCATGGAGGTACACAGGGAAAGAAGAGAACATGCAAAGAGAAGACATCAAGATGCTTGTCCAGAAATGGTGGGACATTTACAACGACGAGTCACTTGATTGCAAGAAACCAATCATTTCTGAAGGAGAGGCTGAGCCCATGAACCTGCAACCATTGTTGGCGGCACTCTCAGAAGCTGGTGCAGTCCAATACGTGGCTGCTCCATCAGCGGCGTAAACATGACCAGCTCTTTTTCGGAATAAAGAAAAAAAAAAACAGCTACTACTTGTAGATAAATGAAGAGTCAACGGGGGAGCGAATTCCTTTTTCACATATTGAAAACGAAGGTGGTCCGAAACAGCGATTGAGGAATAAAAGCTTCTACGTCTTGCTTTTTTTTTTTTTTTTGGATATCTTTTTTATTGGTGGTGAAGTGATGAAGTTCAGTGCCAACATGACGTGTGGGGTCAAAGTTGGATGCGTCTGTAGATATTGTGTTTCCCAAAAGAGTCCTGTTAATCAAAGGCGCCCGGAGAAATGGGCCGTTGTGATCTTTTTCAGCAATGGTGAAACGAAAATACAGTACATGTTTCTGAATGATCAGAAGTTCCTATTGCTACAAAATTCATAATTTATATAAGTTGTAAATCTCTACTGCAGTTTTTTGTATCCCCAAAAATGTCTTCATCATTTTTCTGATCATTCAACTCCATGTTGTTTTAATTAGCCAAACTGGAACCTGGAACTACAGTTCTTAAAAGTTATCATCTCAATACAAATCTATAACATTGCTTAATTTTTAGCGTTTTCTTTAAAAGAATCTCAATAGTACTATTTTTTTTTCCTGTGATAAAAGTGTAGTAGTCAACGATGTATAATTGGAAACAAATTAAAGAAATATATAATCAACCATCAAAATTAAACATAATATGGAAACAAAAATCTATACAAAGGAGCCTGCAATTAGTGAACAATTTGATTCATTAGAATTGAAAAAAAAAAAGAAAACAACCCATATATGGATAGAATAAGTTACTTGCTTTATATGTGATATATATGCAAACAAAATCTCTGCAAAAGGAGCAGATAGAATTTCCATTTTTACTTCATTTAATTTTGGGCATATAATTTGTGTCACATGAATCTATATCTTGGACAATGTAAGTAAAAATCTTTTTCCAAGATTTGATGATCCATCTGATATGGTTTGAATAATAGCTATCCCTTTAGTCAAATTTCTAAACTTGGAGCAAAGGTACTCAGAAATTGATGCATACATGGTAAAAAAAATCCAATTGCAACAAATTAAAAGTAATAAATGCTGAATATATATATATATATATATATTTAAAAAAGGCAATGAATTGTTTTATGAGAAAAAAAAGTCAATGAATTAATCCTACCATACATTGTAATCTCCTATAATTAATGCATCAACTATTACAAACAGAATGTTTTAAACGTGCTCAACCTAGTATATATATAATGTGATTTTAATAACTTTCGTTTTGAAAAACAAATTAAAAATGGCCTCCTTCAAATGCTTCTCTTCTACGTCTATGATCATTTTCCTTGCGACCATCTTTTATTTTTCCTTCAATGGCAGCCACGCTGATCAAGCTTTGATTGACAGTATCTGCAAGCAGTCCCAAGACTAAAATTTTTGCACTTCGACTCTCAACACTGACTCTCGCACAGCTACAGCCGACTTGCATGGCCTTGCCCTGATCTCTATTTCACTGACGATTACTCAAATTCAGGACACCATCAATCGAATCCGGGGTATTCTTAGACAAGTGAAGGACCCCCTTGCCTACCAGCGAATTGGGGTTTGCCAAAATGATTACAGTGGTTCGTTGGAGAATTTCCGGGGCTCGTTCAGCACTACTTCTAAAAATGCTTATTTTGACACCATAGGCTTTGTTAGAGATGGAACTAACCAAGTTATTGATTGTCATAACATTTTTAGGAGGAATGGCCCCATAACCACTTCGCCAATAGCCAGGGATGATATCAAAGTGTTCAAATTATCAGAGATCATTTTGCTAGTCGTCGATCGCCTTATATACAATAAATAGTGGAGTAGCAGCATGATTTTATGTATTTTTATTCTAGCTACAGAAATAATTGAGTCATAAAAAATCATTTGACTACCATGGCTTAAATTCAGAAATATATATATTTCTTTTCATTGAAAATTAATCCATCTCTTTTGTGCTTTTATGCGTAAATATACTTAATTTTTTTTTAAGAAAGGGGATTTGATATCATTTTATAAGATTAAATGTTCAAGTATATGTTTACTTTATTTCTTAATCATTATTAAGAGATAACATTCAACATATCTGAATTCGAATTTTAACACTTATAAATTTATAACCCCTTCTTTTATCTCAAATTATTGCCTCTTAGTTCATTATAATATATATAAACAAAATATTGAAACTTAATTTAATTGATCAATGTGATTATTTTTAAATAATAACATTTAACAAATCCAAAATTTAAAATTTTTTACCTCCCTTTATATACAATGATGTACCACCTAATTACTACTTTTATCCTTTCTTACCCTTTAAAATTGTTATTTGACCCTTTCTTTATTAATTTTTTGCCTTCGTTTTGACTGCCATCATAGTTCCTTTTTAATATTTTCTATGTTCATTAAAGTACGATGTTACTTTCACTTTATTAAAAATTTTCATTAACATGTTACTTCTCAAAAATAAAAGAATCTAAATATATTTTTATGAAAAATTATATGATATATTAACAATAAAGTTAAGATAATAATACTTATTAATTTTTTTTAAATTAGTTTCTTTTTAATTTTTAAATATATATTGAAAAATATGTATCATTATCTTAATCCTGATGATAAAATTAAAATACTTTGCTATTATTATATTTGATAATTTCTCATTTTTTATTTCATCCTTTTATTAGAATTGGTTTAACTTTAATTACGTTAAAAGTTAATGAGAAGAAGGAGGAGGTGCAAAATTATATGGGCCACCATAAATTAGAAACTTAAAATCTCCTAAAAACATTAAGTGCCACACGTCATTAATTTATTTTAAGTTAAAATTGGTTTAAAAAGGATTAATTTGAATGAAGAGTTTAATGGATTTGACCACTTGACTAACCAAGGTGAAATTTCGTTGAATTTTAGTATAATATTGAGAAATTCATGCATATGCATGCTGTACGAAATTTGGTTGAATTGAAGCCGCTGAAATTAAATGCCGAATATGTAGAGGAAGGATGATGATGAGAAATCCCGCCAATGCAATCTTAAACAGAAAATTTCTAATAAAAGACAACTAATTTGTTTATATATTGTACATGCTTCTTACGGTTTTTTATACAAAAAAAAAAAAATGGCTTCATTCAAATGCTTGTTTTCCATTGCCATCGTTTTCCTAGCCACCTCTATTTTCTTCAATGGCTGCCATGCCGATAAAGCATTGATCGACAGCGTTTGTAAGGAGTCCGAAGACTTCAAGTTTTGCAGTTCAACTTTGAACGGCGATCGTCGCTCAGCTGGAGCTGACTTGCATGGCCTTGCCCTGATCGCTATTTCAGAGACGGTTTAATCAAATTCAAGACACACTTGGTCGCATACCCAACATTCTTACACAAGTGAAAGACCCCCTTGGTAAGAAGCGGCTAGGAGTTTGCCAATCTGATTACAAAATTCACTAGGGAAGTTCCAGGGTGCGTTCAGTTCGACGTCTAAGAATGCATATCGGGATACCATAAACTTTGTCAGGGATGGAACTAACGCAGTCATTGATTGTCATAATATTTATAGCAGGAATGGTCCGATAGCGACATCGCCAATAGCCGGAGATGATATCAAGGTGTTCAAGTTGTCGGAGATCGTTTTGATAATCATCGATCGCCTTGTGCCACATAAGTAATTAAGAATATAAAGAATTAATAATATAAATGTGATGAAAAATAAGGCGTTATTGTTAATGCCTTATTGGTATGGGAATTAAATAAATAAAATAAAGGAAGATGGCTGCTTGTATATATGCCTTTTTCTTTATGTAACCTATTTAATAAAAATAAGAATAATTTGTACTTAATTTGAACACTCATATTTATCATGATTACGACTCCAATCAAAAGAGTTAAATTCAATAACCTCCTTTTGTCTCAATTGAAATCTTACTTGATAAAAAATAAATTACTAATTTATACCTTCCGTTGCTTCTCTATTTATTCAAACATGTAATATATTATAATTATATTTAGTGCATAAGATAATAGATATGATAGGACAATAATTATTTTATATTATGTTTGATTTATATATAAAAAAAGATAAGATTACAAAAAAGATTATTATTTTTTTGATATAAAATAATTTGATCCTCTCAAAATAAAAATATATATTTTTTAATTTACTGCATTAAATTTATATATCTTATTATGCATTTAAAAATTAAATTAATAATTTAAATTATATAAATTTTTTAAAAAATATTTTTAATCAATAAATAAATTATTTAATTATAATCATTGCATATATCAAATATAAAATAAAATAATATTATTTAATTTAATTTAATTTATAATATTATTTTTATCTTATCTTATCGTGATTTTGTGTATCAAATATAATTTATATATGCTTGTATACATACAATTTATTTTAATTCTGACCATTTATGTATTTCAATTCATATCCAAAGTGATCCTTTATACAATATATATATATATATATATAAAGAGCCAATTTTCATTTTTTGATCATTAGGTGCCACCTAAACGCAGCGATTTAATTAAACTTGAAACGTTGTCGCTTAACACTAATCGTGCTTACTTTCCAAATAGCAAAGCAGGGGCGCCCCCCGGCTCTGCTCCTCGCCTTTACCCTACTCTTCAAAATCCCATAGCAAAAAGAGTGAAGCGCTTCATCGCTTCTAAGTATCAGAAACTGGAAAATAAGCAATGATAACTCGAATCCCTCTCTCTCACAAATCCCCTTCAAGGTACGTTTCATCATTCTCATTTCTTCCCTTTAAATTCTTTTGCTCTGATTCCGACCCTCTCCTAAACAACAACGTTGACACCGTCTACAGCATAATAACTAGCTCTAGCTCTTCAAAAAACTTGACCCAGTCCTTAAAATCAACTGGGATTTTTCTCTCAAACGAATTAATCGATAAAGTACTAAAAAGGGTCAGGTTTAGCCATGGGAATCCTTTACAAGCTTTTGAGTTCTTTAAACATACAGGGAAAAGAAAAGGGTTTTATCACACTGCCTTTTCTTTGGATACCATGCTTTATATTTTGGGTAGGAGCCGTAAATTTGATCAAATTTGGGAGGTTTTAATTGATATTAAGAGAAAAGATCAGTCTTTGATAACCCCAAGAACTATGCAAGTTGTTTTAGCTAGAATTGCTAAGGTTTGTTCGGTTAGAGAGACTGTAGAAAGTTTCAGGAGGTTTAAGAAGCTTGTTTCTGAATTCGATACAGCTTGTTTTAATGCTTTATTAAGGACATTGTGTCAAGAGAAAAGTATGAAGGATGCTAGGAATGTTTATCATAGTTTAAAGCATGATTTTCGCCCTAATTTGCAGACTTTTAATATACTTTTGTCTGGGTGGAAGTCCTTGGAGGAAGCGGACGGGTTTTTCGAGGAAATGAGGGAATTGGGTGTTAAGCCTGATGTTGTTTCATATAATTGCTTAGTTGATGTGTATTGCAAGGGTAGAGAAATGGATAAGGCTTATAGGGTGGTTGAAAAAATGAGAGATGAGGAACTGTGGCCTGATGTGATCACATACACAAGTATTATTGGGGGTTTAGGATTGGTTGGTCAGCCTGATAAAGCTAGAGATGTTTTGAAGGAAATGAGGGAGCATGGATGTTACCCAGATGTTGCAGCGTATAATGCTGCCATTAGAAATTTTTGTATTGCGAAGAGGCTTGGCGATGCTTATAGTTTGATGGATGAAATGGTCAGAAAGGGGTTGAGTCCCAATGCAACTACTTACAATCTCTTCTTTAGGGTCTTTTATTGGTCGAATGATTTGAAAAGCTCATGTAGTTTGTATCAGAGGATGATGGATTCTGGGTGCCTGCCTGGTACACAATCTTGTATGTTTCTAATTAGGTTGTTTAGAAGGCATGAAAAGGTGGGGATGGCACTGCAGTTGTGGAATGACATGGTGAAGAAGGGTTTTGGGTCTTATGTTTTGGTGTCTGATGTGTTGTTTGATCTGCTTTGTGACATGGGGAAGCTGGTGGAAGCAGAAAAGTGTTTCTTGGAGATGATAGAGAAGGGCCATAAACCTAGCAATGTTTCTTTCAGGAGGATCAAGGTGCTCATGGAACTAGCAAACAAGCACGAGGCTATTAAAAACTTGAAAGAGAAGATGGCCATTTTTGGGTCTTCAAGTCAACTTTCTGGGGCGGAGGGGAATCTTACAGAAGCATTAGATTTGGACTCTCTTAACGTAAATCATGCAAGAACTAACTAATGTGGCAATGATGGTGGTACTATCATTCCTAAGTGCCTTTTTTAGACCATCAAGAAGATGCAGCATATTAAGATTAAATGAGCGCTGAATACTGCATTTATCTTCATATTTCTTGGGTTGGTGCTGCAGTCCATTACTGAGCACCGGCTACCTTTTGACTTGTTTTTAATCTAGTTATGTGTTTTTCGTTATGATGTGAATGGATCTGGCACTTGAAGGAGGGGCTAATACTACCTGGTATTATTAAGCTGTGAACTTTTGGTCGAGGTAGAAGATGTGGTCTCATTTCTTATTTCACAATTGCTGGGGAATTATTTTGTATTGTCATACTTATTTGCTTTTCTCAAAGAGAGAACTATTTTGGAAGTTGATCTCAATCTCTATTTTTCGCTAGGAATTCTCAAGTAGCATTTGGAGCTGTTAGTCCCACTGGATGTGAAGAAACTAACATTTGAAGCATTTCCTCTATTATTTTTCTTGAACTCTGGAGCAGTAGGGGTGTCTGATTTCTCTTATCTTTTCTTGCTCTCTAACCTCAAATTGCCTCTGGATTTTGCAAATATGATTCCTCTATGTGGGGTTATTGCATTTCAGCTATTTCCAGCAAGCTGGTAAAAGACCTTGTTTAGTAGTTGCCTGGGCCTAAAGTGGGAATATTTCAAGTTACCTTTAATTTAAACCTTCTTTTCTCTAGATTTTGAAGCACAAGAACGGTGGAAGCCCGGATTTGAAACTTTTATAGACTTCATCTGACTGTCATCTAAAATTGATGCTCAGCCAGCATTTTTATCCTCAGAAAGTTAGCTATTATTGGGTAATTGCATTGTCACATCTTCATCTACAATGATGCTCAAGATGCTCATTCTATGCATCAGTCGCTTCCGTCATCACTTAAACGCTCTTTCACTTGATCAAACATTATTGGTGTTGTTTACCACCCTTGTGCTCATTTGCTGTGATAGGATAAACCTGCACTGCATTAGGTGATTTATATTATAAAACTGTTGATGCCATTCATTGTTGAGAAAAACGCACCTTTTTCGTTTTGTCCATTTTTACCATTAGAATGTTTATGCTTGACCTTAAAAAAATTGATGGACAACTCAAAGCGGATCTCAGATATGCGTCAAATATTTCTGTCGGGGAATTTTTCTTGAATGAAACGATTTTCGGATGAACTATCAATATGCAGAGAAGATTGGGATGTCTGCAAAACTTATTGAACCTTGTATGCTACGTCTTGGCTTTTTTCCTACACGCAGGTTTTTGTGGGACATCCGCAATTAACTTGCCTTAGTATTCTCCATTTCTCATTCGTCACCTTGGAAGCCTCGCCAAGTAATTGCGACTATTTTCTTATTCATCATACCTCAATTGATCGGGTCCTCGGATTTTCAGATGTTTGCAAAGAGCTTCGTACAACCGAAATTAGTTTAAAATGTTCAATTATGTACATACTTTAGTGAAGAAAGGGTCTACTTATTGCACATGCTATAACGAGCATAAAGAAGCGTAAGTAAAGAAAAAACTTGTACTGTATATTTTTAACATTAGAGCAATGAAACTGGCTAACCATCAATTTCCACCAAGGAATGAACAGCCCAAACTTAGGCAGCTATCGAGATAAAACCAAGGGGAAACCGAAAATTTATCAGTTATTCTTAACTATAAGTAACAAATGGCAATGTTTGCAAGAAACAAGAAATACGAAAAGGCAAAACACTTAAACGGGATCGACATCCAGAACTCCAAAAGGGGCCAGTATTACTCATTCATGCCATTTACGCCTGCAATTGAGTACATATATCAGCACAAGTAAATAGAAAGGTATGAGAACATGAATAAGCCCAAAAGGCTACAATCTGCAACTTCAGGTTTAGCTATAATCAGCGTCACCTGTATGTGCTTACCTTGTTTGCAATGTTGTTCGAGAGCCAGTCCAGTCCCTCATACAGTCCTTCACCAGAAGTGGCGCATGTGCTCTGGATATACCTGCAAAATGTATTATATAAAGGGTGACATACAGATCCACAAACACAGAAAGAAAGAGGGAGAATTTCATCTTATACCAGTGGCGCTGGCGGAGAGAATGAAGGCCAAGCTTGTCAGTAATCTCAGCAGCATTCATAGCATTTGGAAGATCTTGCTTGTTTGCAAATACTAGCAGCACAGCATCCCTCAACTCATCCTGCCAATGCACATAAAATCATACATTAGATTTCAGCACAAAATGACAAAACGCCCTCCAGACTGTGCAACTTTTAGTAATTTCACAATGTTTATTGGAATCATTGCACCGGTAATGAGAAATTTTATGCTCAGGTACCTCATTCAACATCCTGTGCAACTCATCTCTAGCTTCAACCACACGATCACGATCATTGCTATCAACCACAAAAATAAGGCCTTGTGTGTTTTGGAAGTAATGTCTCCACAATGGGCGGATCTAGAAAGCAAATAAAAACGATGACTAATTGAGATGAACAAAAACCGTAAACACTTTTTTCATAATTCTAACAGATCTAACAAGATCTAAGATGTCCTCAAAACATAAAGATCCAATTTTGACCACTAACTATCAACCTTTGCATATACCTAACAGACATCTAGCATGTGTTCTCTCCTTTCACGGAACTACACACATTCAGGTTATCAAGATGCTTATTTGCTCATATAATGTGAGACCAACACCATAATTATTCTCTTTCACAAGCAAGTGAAAAATATAAACAACAGCTAAGAATGTAATAAACAAAACATATCGAAAGACACCCTAAATTTTTCTTTTAAGCAATCTTTAATGGTAACATGTTTGAATAAAAACCAAACCTAGCTACCTTGTCCTGGCCACCAACATCCCAGACAGTAAAGCTGATATTCTTGTATTCCACGGTCTCAACATTGAAACCTACAAGTTTCTAATATATTACAATCTGAAACAAAATTCATTTGAATAAATGTTAGACTTCATGAGGCAAAAAAGCGACTTACCAATGGTGGGAATGGTGGTGACAATCTCTCCCAACTTAAGCTTGTAAAGAATGGTGGTTTTACCAGCAGCATCAAGCCCAACCATCAGTATACGCATCTCCTTCTTGGCGAAAAGCCGGCTGAATAGCTTTGTGAAAGTCAGCCCCATTTTTCACGTCTGCCAAGCACCAAAATCCACATATCGATTGCCAAAATCATCAACTTAATTTGAAAATAAAAATAAATTGTATTATTCAAGATCAGAGCAGATCCAACTGCCAAAATTCAAAACAAACATAAGATCGTTCGAGGAACGATCGGAAACCAAACAGGCCTGAATTGATCCAGATCAACCCATAAAAAGCTAAATCCAATCTACAAAAACATAAATTCAATTCGAAAAATGCAGATCGGATCAATCTAACGAACTTACGACGCTTCCAAGACTTAGATCAGATGAAACTACGCGAGGAATTGAAAATTCAAGCGATTTAACACACTTTTGAAACAAAATTGAATTCAAATCTTAAATAAAAATGTTTAAAAACAAAAAGGCAGATCGAGAGAGAAACAAAATTAAGTGAGGAATAAATATTTTTTGGTTTTCAGAAGAGAGAGAGAAACTTACCTGCGAGAAATGTGAGCGGTTATAACGCGGAGACGAACGAAGGAGAGAAGCGAAGATCCACACCTCTCTCTCGAGTGCTTTACGCGCATTTGGAGATTGGGTATTTATAGATCCAAACAGGATCTTAAGTTGACGGAACGCCGTCGTCTTATTTTGGAATTTTCAGAAAATTTTGGTAGTTAATTAGCTTCGTTCATTATGACGCCGTTATGACGACCCTTGATATGCACGCGTTGTGGAGAGCTGTCTGTTTGGCAAATAGGAGATCGGCTTCCCTCGCGTGGATTTTAAATTAACTGGCTTTAATCCTTGCGATTAAAATTTCAAAAAATAGTAATATTAAGAAATAGTTTTTTGAAATAATACACAATTATAATTTGCTTTTTTTTTTTTCAAATTATACAAAACTTTATGATAAAATTAATGCTTATGATTTGAAAAAGGAGGACATTTGAATTTGAAACTTTCATTTTGAGATGAGGTGTGACTTCGTCAAAGTAATGCATGAATAAAGAAAAAAAAACTACTTAATTTCAAAATTATGATATTTGATTATGCGTTTTACCAGAAAAGAAAAAAGATATTGAAGCCACAGCTCTGTTCGGAAGCTTGACTTAAGTGGAGCCGAAAGGAGAGGTCCACGATCCAATGACACCAAACCGATTGACTATAGTATGGCAAAGAACATTTTGATGTCGGCATAAAATCTGGCAGCAGGGCAAAGGGGCCATCATCACTGCACACCTTTTACAGATAAATCACATAAATTTCTACTCTCTAAGGATAGGCCCCCTTACCACATTGGGCTGCAAATTTCCTCAGAAAAATACCATTCAACGATTGTTGGTTTCTTCTATATGGATTTCTCTACTTACTCTCTTTTAAGCACAAGGAATGCTCTACTAAAGCTATACAAATCTGAAAAATGCACGATCTTCTTCACTGTTCAATTCTTTTTATTTAACTGAATTTCGATAAGATGGAAAACTTCATGACTAGTCTTTTCCCTTAATTATTTTTTATTCACCATCAGATAATTTATATAGAAAAAATGGCAATTATCATAAGCTTCGATTTCCACAATAGGCGACAGCCAGTGTGATTAAAGTAGGCTGTGGACCAAAGGCTGCGATGCTAATCATCAGCGTTGGTATTGCAACTTAGGTCAAAGCAGTGACTGACATATCCGCGCGTCCTCCTGTCATCCTCTCAGCTTTCTCTCCACGCTCACCTGAAAATTGTGTCTACAATTATTAAGGCATAGTTGAAAAGGCACCCATCCTTCATGTGGGTTTGCTAAAGCGAAGAAATTATGAGTTATTCTAATCTTGAATTGCTATAAGAATGTTACCTGTGCGAACTCTTATAACATCCGAAACAGGCACCACTGTAGAACCAATGAACATCATCAGAAGTTTGATCACCAGTAAAAGTGGTAGTATTAATCAACAGCAACAGGTAAAATTCTTCATATACAGGCATGAAAATCAGATCATTCTGAACTCTTACTAATAATTTCACTCATGCATATGTGGCTAGGATAAAGGAAGAAGATGAAAAGAGTCCGAGACAATTTGAGAATGATGTAGTCAGTGAGACCTAGCATTAAAAAATTCAACAAATGGTAGTTATCATGATGCAGCTGCCAGTTATTATGACATTTAGGCTTAGACATGCGGCATTCAATCAATATTCTAATTTCGCCAAATATCAGCACAAACATGGAGAACTTGATACTTATTCCCATCACACCAAATGTCTTCTCACATGTCTCTGGGTGATAAAGTTTTCATTAAACAGGCTTTGTACTTAACCTCATAGTTCAGAGCCATAAAATTCAGCAGAAAGGAAATTAAAGGATTTCATTATTAGATATTCAGAGTAAAGAGTTTAAATTCTTACAGAAAATCTTGCCATCACCAATCTCTCCAGTCCTTGCTTCCTCAATTATCTTATCTATTACTGCTTCCACCTTTGACAGGATAATCATTTAGAAATGAACATCAATATCCTACCAAATCACTCATATTTGGGAGAAATAATTCTTTGGATTATATACATTTATACCTGGTCCTTGCTCACCACAATCTCCATCTTCACTTTAGCAACAAATTTGTCTTCAGAAAATTCAGAACCTACAGAACAATAAACATGAATATTTTGTCAAAAAAGGAATCTCATAAACTGAAGTCTGCCTAAGAAAGAGTGGAGAAATTGACTAAGGCACATCAACTCAATATCATCTGAATTCCTCAATATCATCGCCAAGTAGATGAATTTGAGAAGGAAAAATATCAAAAATAAAGAAAAAAGAGGTAAAAATTTGAACCCTTTGTATACGACAAAAACTTACCACCATGTCTCTCTGTTGAACCTCCTTGAGCACCAAAGCCTCGAACATCAGAAACCGTAACACCACGAATACCCATTTTTAGAAGAGCCTTTTCTCTCTCAAAAAAAAAAAAAAAACTAAAAATTAGATACAACACCATTGGGTTTGCTCATCTCCTGAGTAACAGAAAGGGGCTTGAAGAGAAATAAAAGCAGGCTTAAAACTTCAAGACTACAACAAGTATTATTGTTTGATGAAGAAGCCTTCAATATCAACAAAAATGCATTTACATGCTAATTAAGTCCAATAAACTCATCTTTGGAACAGTGACAATGCAGACTGGAACTTGCCCAGACTATTCTGGAAGTTCTGAAAAGTCAGATCAAGCACGAGTTATTTGGGGAAATTAACTATGCATTTTGTGTGATACTTTAGCTTTTATCACCTTTTGGCCCAAACCCGTCCCAATTCCAATAGAATCACTCTCCTTTCCACTTATGTTAAGCTATAATGGTAAAATTATTCCAAGCTCTGTCATATGAACCAACCCCTTGCCATTAGTACAGGCTAACTCTTCTGCAGAGGTATTACCTTAACTTGGAAGAGTAACAGAAGAATTCCTCATTAACATAATGAGGTTTGGGTTAAATTTGAAGAAAATCAGAGAAAGTAATGCTCAAAAAGACTACCAGTACAAATACTAGAGTGCAGACCAAAGGCGCAATTCTTAAGCAAAATTGACTAAATACATTGTAACAAAATGTTAGGACTATCTACAAAAGAGGCAGCAACACAAAGCCAATTCTTATTATAAAGTACAATTGTAACAAAATATTAGGACTATCTACAGAAGAGACAGCAACACAAAGCAAATTCTTCTTATAAAGTAAAATGCCTACATCAGTTGTGAAGTTCTAGTAGCTCTTACCGAAGAAACCTGCTGGATTCGCCAGGGCCTATTCCGTTGAAAATTCAGCATAAGAGGAAGAAACCATAATGAAATTAGATATGCTAAACTAATAAACTCGATAAGCCGCGAGCTCTCAAAAAGAAGATAATAATAACGAGAAGAAAATAGTGAAGAAGACCTGAGAATCGCTTCCACTTTATAAAATTTTGCATCGGGGGTATAATCTACTGAAAACATAAAACCCAGTAAAATTTAGAGGAATCCATTTCATACATACTCCTCGGATGAAAGAAAAAGTGCCGGAAAAGTAAAAAATCATAAAGTTTTGTTGCTGCTTGCTAAGCCATCCGTCCATACCAGGAGAGTTTTGGGATCTGATTACAGGAAGAATTGAAGCATTTCTTGAGCGTTTCAGGGTTACATTAGGCTTAGATAAATGAGAATCTCTAAACCTGGGAAGGGTAGAACTAGAGATGAGAGGATAGTCATTGCGATGAGAAGAAGAATGAAGAGGAGTAAGCAAATTTGGTTTTGCTATAGCAGCCATGTTCGGTCGTTGGAGAACAAGAAAAAGAAGAAAGTAAGGTGGCTTTTGGGCACCGTAGCGCAGAACCTCACAGTTAAACGCTATGCTGTCGCCTGTCAATCAAGGCTTTTGAACAAGCTAACGCGTGAAGTTAAAAGCCTTTGGAGCCTTTATATAGATGGGCTGCGGACCTAAAAATGAAGCCCATAAAAGGAAAGCTGGACTAACAGTAACACTTCTAGAGTCCAGAGTAATGCCACTAAGTTTAAGCCTACATTGGAAAGCACTTTGCGTGGATTGGATGCAAATCATCCGCTGGCTGCAAGCGTAAAGAATGGCCGCAGGTGAAGGGGAAGAATTCGTATACAGGATTAGCACGGCTGAGGAATGGGAAGCATTGCAAAAGAATGGATCTGCTTTAGGCGGAGACCTTGACAAATCCTCTGGTTTCATCCACCTCAGCTCGCTTCATCAGGTCTCTTTCCAGTACCCAATTATTTGGGGGTTTATTATGAATTTGTTCATAAATGTAATTGACTCATGTTTCTGTCTGATTATCAATTATTGCAGGTAAAGCCCACACTGCAGAATTTTTTCTCTAACGTCAAAGCGGATTTGTACCTTCTTCAAATTGACGCTAAGAAGGTAATATATATATATATATATATATATCACATATTGCCAAAGAATCCTTCAGGTCTTACGGAGTTTCTCTTGTCTTTGCCAGTTGATGTTATAAAATTGACTGGTGTTTGGCAGTGATGTATGGACTATGTCTTGATGTTTGGTCTTAAATTGAGAAATGTGAAAACCCTAAATTGCACTTGCAATTATAGTTTTGGAAATGATAGGAGAGATTTTGCACAATATAATGCAGTTAGGCTGGTAATGAATATCTTGATTTGCTACCATATGTGGTACCTGAAAATTCTGGATGTGTATGAGCTCCTTTTGACATGTGCATATCCTGCATGCAGCTTGGAGATGGATTGATATATGAGGTTGTCGATGGTACCAACAGCTTCCCACACTTCTATGGCCCATCTCGAAGCTTCGCTCCTCTTCCATTAGATGCAGTTATAAAAGCTGAGAAGCTATCGGTATTAGAAGGCAAATTCAGTTGCAGTTTATTGAATTAATTGATCCACTTCATCATCTCCTTGAGCAAATAGTAGATATACTATTGCTTTGAATAGATATAATCATACAATGTTCTGCCGTTGTAATACTTAAAACTCCTAATAATAGCAAAGGTGTGTGTATTTTGTTGATTATGATGTGTTTATATCGATTACACTTGGTCTCAATCTGTATTGGACGTAGAGCTGAGGTTAAGCAATCGAATTTGATGAATATTGTTATTTGTGAGTTAACGCTCCATCTTGAGCAGGGCAGAAGCTGCTGGAATCTGTTTTCCAAAATGAAAAAAAAAAAAAATTTCAATAACGGCTCTCAACATTTCAAAATTTATTACAGGAAGATCCTTCTGAAGATATAATAGCCCTATTAAAATGGTATCCAACTTTCCGCCACCAGATAAAATTACAGAGAGGCAAAAAAATGCCAAAAGCCCTTGTAAAACATGTATAGGCAGTATAGCGCTATTGATAGCAAGGCACAGAATCCATTGAATGGTAAACATGTGTAGATATGAATCAATTCCAGTTTCAGCAGAATATAATGGTAATTGGATCTGAACTACCCAAAACAGCAAGCAAGCAAGCTCTTCCAAGTCATCAATTGTTCCGTTGATAAAAGATTTTATCACGGACTTTGTATTATTAAACTTTGGGAAATTAGAAGTTGACTATAAAACCAAAAACTTAATCATTTTTATTGTTTAGCGGCTTGTCTTGACATTGCTTATGCATGTTTTACATCGGGATTAGCAGTTGTTTCCGACATTTAAAACTTTTTTTACCTAACGCCCCACATTTGCTTCTGTCAATTCATCCATCAAGCTTCGGTCGAAAACCAAAAAACAGTGGTTAGTGCCGCAGACTCTAATGGAATGGAAGTGACTAATCCCACTTGCTAGCTGTAAGCCATACATCAGCAGCCGTATATGCTGGTGCAAAGTACCATGATTTTGCTGGTTTTTGGCCAGGAATTCGTCACATTAAATTTGTTAGGCCCATAAATTTGGACAATAATACATTTTCTTCTAATAATAGGTTTCATCCCATTAATGCATAGTCTTTGGTCTATTTGATTTCCTCTTCTTTTTTTTTTTTGGTTTTTTATACTTTATATATATAACATACGTAACTTCCATATGTACTTCCATCCGTCAGTTTCTCTTTAGAAAAGACTGGTGAATGAGATTAAATCTCCCTAGATAGCTGTAGTTTACCCTACCTTTAATGTGTATAAATATAACCATTATTTATGATCCTAGTCAAAGCAAACCAACCAATATTGAGATGGGGTTAGTGAAGGATATATGCACTCCTGTTACCCTTTTTCACACTCCATGTTATTTTTAGTCTTCCCATTTCATTGCTTCCCCTTTCAGTCCATAGCCAGTGCACCAAAGATCCCATCATCTTCAACTTTGGCGACTCTAATTCAGACACTGGTGGCTATGCAGATGGTCTAGGACTCAACTTTGCACCTCCGAACGGGCGTACACATTTCCATCAACCAGCTGGTCGTCTATCCGATGGACGATTAATCATTGATTTCCTCTGTAAGTTCAATATATAATTCATGTTTCGCTTTATCCATACTTCTTCAACATAAATTAATCCTATTTTTATGTCAAAACTCAAAACCGAAGACTAACCAAATGATCCGATAGGGATATGCATGGATCATATACAAAACTCATACCTCTATGTCATAACTCATTCATAGCTATTTTTTGGATATAGACAAGCTTGTTATCAGCGCCTTTTCGAGAAAAAAGTTTGTAGTATTTGATATATATGTCATACGTCAGACAAAGTACCCTTTTCTATATTTTATTTCTATCTGTTTGTTAACTTTGCATTGCCCCTCTTCCAGCCTCCAGCAATACAGGTAGGCAGGGCACGGTGCCACCCTGGTCCCTACCTCGGGTCGGTGCCCTGGACTTAATATGGGCACTAAAGCATGGACCTTTTCTTCTAATTGGATTTCCTGACCCAATCAGTTTTTGCCATGCTTTTTCAATAGTAGCAGGGAAAAGCCCAACCTTGTCCAGCTTCTAGAGCTGATACACTCACAATATGAATAGAGTGGATGGGCTAGTTAGCAAAAATTAGACTACCAAACAGACGGCCCAAATTTCAGTCCTTGTTTCGAGTAAATTTAGCTTTTGTCTATCCGGCGAATCGAACATTATTATTTTCTCAACTACTGGATAAATTTTTGGAAACAAAAGGCCAAACAGAAACACACCCACAAATGTGCTCTTTGTTTACCTCCAAGTTTGGAAACTTTTGCAGGTGAAAGCTTGAATAGTGGTTATTTGACTCCATATCTAAATTCTATGGGGCCAAATTTTACAAACGGATTCAATTTCGCAATTAGTGGGTCAGCCACTTTGCCTAGATATGTCCCTTTTAGTTTGAGCATCCAAGTTTCTCAGTTTCTTCGCTTCCGCTCTCGTTCCCCAGCACTGATGTTAAGTGGTATGTTGTTATATGGTCCAAGAAAAATATTTAGTTATTTACAACCATGTTTAATGACTATTTATTTTATAATTCACCCAAGAATATGTTCCTAATATTTAATTTTTTGCACCCTCGGGAGTTAGGCTTCAAAGATTTGGTTGGTGATGGGGACTTCCAAAATGCACTGTATACAATGGACATTGGACAGAATGATTTAGCTGGATCGTTTGATTACCTTACCTATTCAGGAGTTATTGATAAAATCCCTTCTTTCATCACTGAAATCAAATATGCTATTTGGGTGAGCCTTCAATCTTCAAAATAATGAAACCTCAATGTCTTGTTTCATGTGTCTAGCTAAGATCTGTGATCTTTTTTCCAATCTTAAATACAGAATATATATAATAGGGGAGGGAAGAATTTCTGGGTACACTACACTGGGCCACTTGGATGTTTGCCTCAAAACTTGCTGTGCATGGCCAAAATGCTAGTGAACTTGATGAGCATGGCTGCCTTCAGTCTCTCAACAATGCTGCAAAAGCATTTAATGCACAGTTGAGTGTTTTATGTGAACAACTGAGACCTCAACTAAGTAATACCACTATTGTCTATGTCGACATGTATTCCATCAAGTATGATCTCATTGCCAATGCCCCTAATTATGGTATGGTCTCAGTTCTAATCAGTTCTGTTTCATGTACTTTAGTTATAAGCTTAAGGGAATATCTCATGTTGATGAACTGTTTTAATTGACAGGTTTTCAAAGTCCATTAATGGCATGTTGTGGCAATGGGGGGCCGCCATACAACTACAATGCCAATATCAATTGTGGTCAGACTGGTCACACTGTCTGCAATGAAGGATCTCAGTTCATAAGCTGGGATGGAGTTCACTACACAGAAGCTGCAAATGCCATTTTCGCTTCCAAAATTCTCTCTACTAATTACTCCACTCCTCAAGTTAACTTTAACTTCTTCTGTAACAAATTGTGACTACCAACAAAAGAAGCAAGAAACTTAGTTTTAAATTGCAGAGAGAATTAAGTTAGGTTATTCCACAGTATACCTGATTTGGTCATACCGTGATAAACTACAGAATAGTTAATTATTGCCATGTGAATTTCTTATCTTACAGTGTAATGTATTCTTAATCACATGGGGAACTGTCTGGAAGGAACTACTTTTTTTTAAACAATTTCCACTTGACATGTAAACTTCAGATTTCCTCTTCCAAGTGGTGCAATTTGCAATTTATTTGACTTTCTGAATTGATGGATTGGTTTATACAAACCAGACAGAAAGTCAATGCATCTAATTGATTTATTGTCTACTCTAATCATAGTAAGACTTCAAGCTTCACTCAATACCAAAAACCTTATATATTTACAGAATGACTTGTTGAATTAATCTTTGCCAGTTCAAAAAAATTAGAGAACCTATGAAATGGATAATGAAGGATTTTCTACGCAGTTGATGTGGCTTCTCTGGATTTGGATTTTCCTTGGTATGACTGCTATTTCAGATTGCAGCCCTGGTAGACCACTTATTATCAATTTTGGTGATTCGAATTCTGATACTGGAGGAGTACTAGCCGGCACTGGACTTCCCATTGGCCTTCCTCACGGTATGACATTTTTCCATAGAGGCACTGGAAGGTTAGGGGATGGACGTCTTATTATTGACTTCTTCTGTAAGTCCAATTTCTCCTCAACCAACCTTATACCTTATTTTCAAAGTATTGGTTAGTTCATGAAAGTGATTTGGATAACAGGAAGCGTATATTAGGCTTTTGCCATCCGATATATTCGTTAATATCTTCTATCTTCTACAATAATAGTAATAAAGAGAAAATTAAAATAGATAAATTAGAACTTAGGGATATATGCTCTCCGTTGCAAGCAGTTTAGCCTTTTGTATTCAAGTTTGTGCTCTCTCTGGTAGGTGAACATTTGAACTTGAGTTATTTGAGCCCATATTTGGACTCATTGGCGTCAAACTTCACTAGTGGAGTGAACTTTGCTGTATCTGGGGCAATGACTCTGCCACAGTTTATCCCTTTTGCGCTGGATGTTCAAGTTCGCCAATTCATTCGGTTCAAAAATAGATCCCTTGAACTCCAAACAACAGGCAAGTTAATATATATCAACTCCCTTGATTCAATTAGAACGGGGAATCAATAAATTTCGCCTCAAACTCATCTCTGTTGCGTAAAAAAAAAAATCTTTAGCAGGTTCAGGAAACTTCATAGATGAAAAGGGGTTTTTCAGTGCTCTATACATGATTGACATTGGACAGAATGATCTGTTAATGGCTTTGTATGCATCAAACTTGACATATGCACCAGTGGCAAAACAAATCCCATATTTTCTTGCAGAAGTCAAGTTAGCTATTCAAGTGAGTCCCTCTCATTTCCACAAACAAAATTTGGGCTAGTGTCAGATTATTGGTTCCCTTTGTACTAACAAAATCTTCTTTGTTGCATCTGCAGAACATATATTTATATGGTGGCAGAAAATTTTGGATACACAACACCGGTCCATTAGGATGTGCTCCAAAAGAACTTGCATTACATCCTCGTACTAAGAATGATCTCGATCGAATTGGATGCTTCCGCGTCCATAATGACCTTGCAAGAGCTTTTAATAAAGGATTACGTAATATCTGTAAAGATATGAGAACTGTATTAAAGGATACAACTATTGTCTACGTAGATGTATACTCCATAAAGTATAATCTCTTCGCCAAGTATAAAAAATATGGTAAGGTTGAACTTTCTATATATATGAAAATTATGCCAAGTGAAATGACGTTCTTCTTTTTCTTTTTTCTCTGTGGTGGTTTCATTTTGATGTTAAATAATTATGTAGGCTTTGAGGATCCATTTATGGCTTGTTGTGGCTATGGGGGGCCTCCAAATAATTACGATCCTAAAGCAACGTGCGGCCAGCCTGGTTCCAGCATCTGCCACAATGTGTCACGATCTATAGTCTGGGATGGAGTTCATTACTCTGAAGCTTCAAATCGTGCGATTGCAACCAGTATTTTATCAGGTCATTATTCTACACCACAAATGAAGCTCGAAAATTTTTGGAAGGCCTGATTAAAGCTCATGATAATCATGTTAACAACAAAAACGACTCCATTCTAATTTTTCTCCAATGCAAAGCTTTTTTGTTGATTGTTGGGTTAGTAGAATCAATCGTAATCTGTACTTTTAACTTGTGGAATTCAAACATTATTCTATGATTCAAATCAGTGGTGGGCTGCCCTCATCCCAATGCACCTTTAATTGGAGTTTCGACACCTTACCATGCTGATTACTTTGTAAAAATATATGAGATTCTAGTGAAGGATGCACATTAATTCACTTGTCTCTACACAACAGTACTCCTAATCTTTATAATCATGATGATTAAAAAAAATAGCAATAGGTACTTGGATTTGCGTACAAGTTTGGCTAAAAATGACTGATCAAACTGGCTTTAATGGAATCAAAAGAGATCCTTTTCAATCAAACATTGGGTTCAATGGTACTTGCTTTCAGCAATTTGCTGCTAGATTGCATGGCTGACCAGACCTTCTTGGGTTCAATGTTACTTGCATTTTCATATACTCCATTCGATTATCATATAGTAGGCCGAGCGGTAGCAACCACTTAAAGATGCATCCATCAACAACTGGACCTACCACTTGAGTTGATGGATGAAGAGAAAATGATTGATCAAACCTTTATGGACAGGTGGTTTTGTCTTTGCCTCACATTTTTCAATTATGAGCATGAATAAAGTCCTCCGTCTAGACAAAATCATTTGTGTGCTGCTCCCTTTTGAATATAAAAGGGAAAAAGAGAGGGTGTAAAATTTTCAAAAATGATATTAATAAAGATTGAATTCTTTGTTTGATAAGTCTTTAAACTTTTTATTCCTGCGTATGAAAACCTACCTCAGTTGTTTTCTTAACTTTGCACAACTATAAGTTAATCTTTAGTGGGTTTTTAATTTTATTTCCTTTACATGGATCAAAGTGTCATGAAAGAGTCTTGAAAGTGTTGAATCTGAAAAGGAAAAAAGAGAAGATTAAAAAAAGATTGAAAAGAAAAAGAGAGAATCAATGAAGTGCTCATTCATTCATGTAAAGGGGAGGAATGTCTGGAAAAGGACCAAACTATATAGTTTAATCAAAAGAAAACATACAGTGCTAGTTAATTGGTTTATTTGGGTTTTCAAGTTTCAATTTGGAGTTTTCTTGTCAAAGCAATTGAGTCTTCCCAATTCTGGATTGGAACCCTCCAGCAAAGATACAAGTTTTTGGGGTAGCTTTTAATTAATTAAGTATTTCATTAAATTCTATTAATTTATCAATCTTAATTTTTAATTTTAATTAATTTTGACAAACCTAAAATACCCTCACCTAAGTTCTCCCAAAGCAAACACCATTTTATGTTTGTTATATAGTAAAGGCTAATGTTTCCAGCTTTTTTCTGCATGATTAGCGTAGAATATGAATATTATAGCATTAAACTAAAGGTAAATCACTTGATCATGGTGAGGAAAAGCTTTTTGTTATTATTTTATTATGGTATAATGTGAACAAGAGAGAAAGAGTTGTTAATGGTATTTGGTTGAGAAGAGATACCGTTGATATACTTTAATTTAGAACACGCTTTTCCTTAAAGTTAATATTATAAAATGCTAATGAGATCCATTTTCTATTTTTCTTTGCTGTTTTCAATTAGATTTTTATTATTATATTATTGATTGTTACTTTTTTCTGGTATGATGAATGATTGATTATATATGACTACTTATAAAATTTGAGTATATGTATTATATATTGTACAAAAAAATGTAGTATGTATATCAATAACCTGTTAGCTTAATGGAATTGTATTGGAATCAATTTTAAATCTGAGGATTTAGAGCACAAGCTCTAATCATAATTGAAAACATAAAAATAAAATAAAATAAAATATGTATGTAAAAAAGAAAAGGCACATTAATGGGTGTGAGCTGACTTTTTTTTTTTTTTTCTTTCATTTTTCTCTTTTGAGAAAGGCTGTGCATTTGTATTCAAAAGAATATCTCAATGATTAAATTAAAATGAAACAGGATGAGATTTACTTTTTTTTTTTTCTTCTTGGAAGAGGAAAGAGATTTACTTAGATGAGAAAGGATTATTTACTTCTTATACATTAGTATATATATGTATCCACGATAATCATGACCTAAACCTTAAACGTCTTTGGGGGAGTCAATTAAATTAGAAAAATATCAATAAGTGCAGGAAAGCATCTAAAGTATATGGTGAAAGTAACTTATAAAGGTTACTACATAATGGGTAAATTTCATTCATGACCTTAAACATTTTATTTTGGTTTCATTTCCGTCTTTAACTTTTATATTATTCCATTTAAACCCTTAACCTCGTCAAGTGGTTCATTTTGGTCATTTATCATTTTTTTTTTTTTGTTATTAACAATTGAGAAGAATATTCATGCAGGTGACATATAAGCTACAAACTAGGTGAGAGCAAAATAAAATTATTTTAAAAGGTTTAGTACCCAAAACAATTTAAAAATTAAGGACAAAATATAATTAAAGATATTAATGGGTAAAGTATAAGGAAAATAAAACATTTTCAATCTTATATTCAATGGGTATTTCAAATCTATTTACATCTTTACTTTCATAGGTATTTAATGGATATGAATAATTTTTGTATCTGTAATTTTTAAAAAAATAATAAAAATAAAAATTATTTCTTAGGTTTTTTATTTTTATTTTATATATTTATGTATTTTATAAACGTATATATTAATATATATTTTAAATAAAAATATATTAGTACTAATTAAGTTAAAATAATAATTTATATTATTTAATTAAAAATTTATTTACTAAATATACATATGAAAAGAATTGATAGGAGTATGGGATGAGTGTTATATTATCCATACTAGATAAAAAATTTAAAATCATATCAATCTCATCTCTACAATATAATACCAATCCCATTTAAATAAAAAAAATAAAATTTTTTATTGGATATGAGTAAAATTGATATCTTTAAATATAATTAAAATAAAAAATTTGAGATCATAAATAAAATTTATCAATTCATAGATAGATAAATTTTACAATAAACATCAAGTCTTTTTTACATAAGTTCTAAACTTATATGTATAATTATTTTATTATATAAACATAATAAATTTTGTATTATCTAACTTTTTTTTTATAGATTCTTGAATGTCAATTACTATAAATTATACCATTTGAGAGCGTTACTAGAAAGAATAAATTAAAGAACATCCTAAAGGTAAAAGAGGCTTTATTAAGGGTCCATTTATAATATATAAAAGTACCAATGTAATAATACGGTTCAAAGAGTAGTTAAATAAAACTGTGTTGGCATGATGCAACAGCCGTGTTATTTTATGTGATAATGGATAGAAAATTGTCTACTTTTGACTTGGAAAAAGCTAATTCTAAATAAACAAATAAAAAGTCCGCATTACCGAATTAAAAAAAAAAAAGTTAACATCAAAAGCAGAAGAAGTGTTGATGGTGTTAACCTGCTATGTTATGGTGGGAAAGAACAACTTCCAACCCAAAACTCAACTCATTGGATGAAAACTAAAAGAATTTACCATTAATTACCAACCATCAAGGTTAGTCGACGGTTCGTTGCAACAATATTATTTTTTATTTTATAGGAAAACAAATATTGGAAGTAAAGTCGTTTTGTGATTTGATTTTGATCCCGATAACTATAATTAATTTGATAATCCCACATGCCCCATCAAAATTTTTTATTCAAGTATTTAATTTCTTTAACCTATCGTAACCTTGACATGCCTTGAAATTTAAATCATGGATGGAGAGAGCTCAAATATAATAGCCAATTATTGTAACCATGTATATAGCAGTAGTACGTGTACTATGTTCATGGTGATTCAAATTTTATAAAAAAGAATAAAAAATGGTAAAATAAAACAAGTTACAGTTATAAAATTTATATATTAATAATATATCAAATTCATACATTACAGTTATATAGAATTTCACGGCACCATAATTTTTTATCTTTAAATAATTCAATTGCACCAAAATATATGATGATTTAAGTTTGATGAATAAAATACATAAAATTGATATTATTTAAACATATATAATTTTTAATTTTTTTCTTTGGATTTTGGACCATTTAAATTCAACCCTAGCAAGAGATTGAGGTTTTAGGGGAAGCTTCGTGGGTAGTGGAATCTGTTTGATGCTCAAAACTGTTTTGTTTTGATGAGTAATAATGATACCAGGCTGGTGGCAAAGAAGTTTAAGAATTGGTTGATGATACTTCAAATTGACTTCAAGTATTAATATTATATATATATATATATATATATATATATATTGGGTGTTCCTGCAGGTAAGATAAGCCCATCTTCCTTAAGAGATAGGCATGCATTTGACTTCGAAAGATAGCCGAAATTAGTTGTTCACAGCACATGGACGGGACAACAAACCAATAAGATCAATTGTCTATAATACAATAGTATGCATTTAATTATAAGTTACTCCATGTAGGTAGGTTTGAGTCTGGCTAATTGCTGGCCCTCCAAACCTCTGGATACTCCTCAAAATCAAGTCAAACTGAGCCTATCCCACACCTTTCTTCAGAATTGAAGTCTGGGTGGTCTGAGTTTTGCAATAGAAGAGGTTATTGTCCATCATCATAGTAAAAAAGGGAACCCACTGTAGAGACAAAATCAAAGAATATTGAATTGACAAATATAATATATATTAGCTCAACCAAAAAAAAAAAAAAGAGGAAAAAAGGGGAGAGGGGTTCCTTTCAGATCTTGCCATGATAGATTTAGCCTGAGCGCTAGAAGGCTGACATGGCTTGATCGGAAATGAAAGGTGGATGAAAATGGGCCTTATTTCCTTGGAATTTTGTATATTAATCAGTCCCTTGAAAGTCAACCAGTAGTGGCATTTTTGTGGTTTCAGAGTTCAGACTATGGGAAATTCATTGTTTATCAAAACCATACATGTCATATAACAGTGCGATTCCTTCATTAAATAGAACCTAATTTATTATTGGAATTGAGAGTCCAGAGGAGGTACCCTGTGAATGATGACATGGGCCCTCAAAATGAAAAGGCACAGAAATGGGGCGACCTTAGTGTAGCAGAGGATTAGCAAGCCCCTCAATAAGAATGACAGTGAAGTTCACTCTCATTCCCTATTGACCCGAGTAGTAGCCTGCACCAACTCTACTCTCCTTTCAACCACGCTTATATATTTGGATCCCTCCTCTCCTCCCTCTACCCCCATACATTGCATCAACAAGCAATTCAAAAGCTAGCGGTGCCTTCTTCTTTTGTTTGTCAAAACCATCACGTTCCCTTCCTCAAACACATAAAGGGAAAAGGAAACCAAAAGAAAAAAAAAATTTGCTGTACTTGATTCTTTTTATTTTTCAGCTGTCTTCCCAAACCCACAATTATGTAACCTGGTGTGTTTCTCTTGAAGCTTGAATTCATATCTTTAATTCATAATTGTCTGATCAATCACCTTTGAATTTCTCTTCTCACTTCTCGGAGAAAAAATTTGAATAACATGAACATCGTCTATCTTCGCTAAAGTTTTCATCTGTACTTTGGAATCAAGTCATGTAATTTACTTGATCCTACGTTTGGCTCTTATTTTTTTCCAATGAGAATCTCCTTGCCAGATATGTAACAGCCCGATCTTTGATACAGCAGTTATTACTGATCATTGTCAAGAGTCTTTCAGCCTTTCTTTTATTTTTCTCTAGGAAGATTATTCAAGAGGAAGAGAGAACTAAAGCCAACCGTTTAGAGTTACAGATAGAAAAAACTAACCATGGAGGAGACCTTTGTGCCTTTCCGAGGCATCAAAAATGACCTCAGAGGGAGACTGATGTGTTACAAACAAGATTGGACTGGTGGCTTTCGAGCAGGCTTCAGGTATATGCTATATATGATACGCTTTCCAACTTTGCTGGTCTTAAAAGAAATATTCCTCGTAGTCTAATTATCTTTCCAAAGATGTTCAATATTTGCAAAATTATTATGCTTCGTATTTTTAGACTTCCCCTATTGGCTTAATATTCCTGACGACTCAACCATGATCTTTTCAGGATTCTGGCTCCCACCACTTACATTTTCTTTGCTTCTGCGATTCCTGTCATTTCATTTGGTGAACAACTTGAGAGAAATACTGGTATTTAAACACGTAACTACCCTATAATGAATAATTTAAATCTTCAGTAGAATATTTCATTTTCTTTGGCTTACCACGATCAAATCATAAACTTTTGTTCTTTATTATTGTCAACCTGTTTTTTCTTATCATCTTCGTTTACGTGAAGAACAAAGTGAGAAAAAGAAAAGATCGTAGCCTATATCTGATCAATTTTGTCACACGTGAAATCTATCCTCTTTTTAATCCACAGATGGAGTTCTCACAGCGGTTCAAACCTTAGCATCCACGGCACTTTGTGGGGTCATACACTCAATAATTGGAGGTCAACCTTTGTTGATATTAGGAGTTGCTGAGCCAACTGTCATTATGTATACGTTTATGTTCAACTTTGCTAAAGACATACCTGATTTGGGTCGGGACCTGTTTCTAGCATGGACTGGATGGTGAGCTGTTACCTCTCTGCCTTTCTTCAAAGAATAGCCATACCATGTTAATGTTTTTGTCATGTCTTCAATAGGATTCTTTGATTAGATATCGATATATTGGATGGGCTGCTATATTTGACAGAAGTTACATGGTTTTTTAATTTTGTAGGGTATGTGTATGGACTGCAGGCTTGCTGTTCTTACTGTCTATCTTGGGAGCTTGTTCCATAATCAACAGGTTTACCCGTGTGGCAGGAGAACTGTTTGGTCTGCTTATAGCTATGCTGTTTATGCAGCAAGCTATCAAAGTAAGAAAATTTATCATCTGATTTATATATTTTCTATTATTAATCACACCCATTAAGATGCTATTACTGAAATTTGTATAACATGATGAAAGATTTATCTTACCTCTTGATGTCATTACTCAAGTATAGTAGCAAGCAGCTACTTATAATAATAAATCTCATGTACAGGGCCTTGTGGAAGAGTTCCGCATTCCACATAATGAAAACCCGAAATTGACAGAATTTATACCTTCATGGAGATTTGCTAATGGTATGTTTGCTTTGGTTCTGTCATTTGGCCTTCTTCTCACCGCATTAAGAAGCCGAAAAGCAAGGTCATGGCGCTATGGCACAGGTCAGTTGATGTTCCTTGATCACCTTTTGGAGATATGGCATCATTTGCTTTGAGAACTTAAAAGAAGATTTTTTTGACAGGTTCGCTTAGAAGCCTTATAGCCGACTATGGGGTGCCACTTATGGTACTAGTATGGACAGCTGTGTCTTACATACCTGCAGGAAGTGTTCCAAAAGGAATCCCACGTCGTCTCTTCAGCCCAAATCCCTGGTCCCCTGGCGCTTATGGAAATTGGACAGTTGTCAAGGCATGTTTAACGAAGTACAATTGCCAATGAATACTATATTTATTCGGTTTCCTTACAGGGCTAACAAACTGACATTAGAAACTTGAAAAAATGACAGGACATGCTAAATGTTCCAGTTGTCTACATTATTGGAGCCTTCATTCCAGCCACAATGATTGCAGTGCTCTATTACTTTGACCATAGTGTAGCATCCCAACTCGCTCAGCAGAAAGAGTTTAATTTGAGAAAGCCATCTTGTTATCATTATGACTTACTCCTTTTGGGATTCTTGGTATGCAACAAGTTTCCTCCTCGTCTCTATCCTTAATCTAAAAATTTTGCCTTTCAAACACTTGTTTAATTTTGTTTAGCATCCTTGGCATTAATATGGGTGTTTCTTGGTGGCAGACATTGTTATGTGGTCTAATTGGCATCCCTCCAGCAAATGGGGTCATTCCACAATCTCCAATGCATACTAAGAGCTTGGCTACTCTCAAGCACCAGGTACTACTTAAAATCCTCTGAATCGTCGAAACTTTTCTTCACTCTTCTTTTATCAAAATGTTTTGTTGATACAGATTTTTGGTTATTCTGCAGCTGCTTCGTAATCGATTGGTTGCAACAGCACGTAAAAGTATAGGAAAGAATGCTAGTTTGGGACAATTGTATGGAAATATGCAAGAAGCCTATCAACAAATGCAGACCCCTTTAGTTTACCAGGAGCCTTCAGCTAGAGTAAGATTGTGTTTAATTTCCATGACCATACAAAAGATATATGGCTGTTTTTTGTTGAAACTTGAAACTAATTAAAAATCATACTTTAGAAATTTAGGGAGACATAGCGGTGCATATAAAAATCCATAAAGCATTAAAAAATGCTAACAAGCGTGCTTGAATGACTAATAGATGACTTCACCATTAAGTTCTGTGAAATAAAGACAAAACTCTCACTATTTGCTGGCATAATCTAGCATGCTATGCTATGATTAACTAATGAATTCACTGTAATATTTTAAAGTCTTGATTTCAGTAATTCTGTAATTGTATTCGTAAATGTAATTTTCAACATCCTGTTGTAATGAACTAATTACATTAAAATTTCTTAAGCAGGGACTAAATGAACTAAAAGAATCGACTGTTCAAGCTGCTACATGTACAGGCAACATTGATGCCCCTCTTGATGAGACTTTATTTGATATTGAGAAAGAGATTGATGATCTATTGCCTGTTGAAGTAAAGGAACAGCGTCTCAGTAACTTGCTTCAAGCCATCATGGTAGGAGGATGTGTTGCAGCAATGCCCATCCTGAAAAAGATCCCAACTTCAGTCCTCTGGGGCTACTTCGCCTTCATGGCTATTGAAAGCTTACCGGGTAACCAATTTTGGGAAAGGATCTTACTACTCTTCACAGCACCAAGCAGAAGATACAAGTAAGATATTCATAGCTCATTTATATTTTATATTTAGTCTAAAGTTTCCGTTGTCTATCTTGTATAATGAAGAGATCTTTTATTTCCTGCAGAGTCCTTGAGCAGCAACACGCAACCTTTGTGGAGACTGTTCCATTCAAGACAATTGCAATGTTCACCATTTTCCAAACTACTTATCTGCTTGTATGTTTTGGCTTAACTTGGATTCCAATCGCCGGAGTTATGTTTCCTTTGATGATCATGCTTTTAGTTCCAGTAAGACAATACATCCTGCCCAAGTTTTTCAAAGGGGCACATCTTTATGATTTGGATGCCGCAGAGTATGAAGAGGCACCTGCTTTGCCATTTAATCTTGCCGCAGTACGATCTCTTTTCCAACAATCAAAACTTTCCACTTTTCTTTGATTATTAATCATGTAAATTTTCCCTTACATCTTTGATGTTTTCCAAATACAGGAGACAGAACTGGCAAATGGAGCAACGTATGCTGGGGATGGTGAGATATTAGATGAAGTTATTACCAGAAGCCGTGGTGAATTCAGGCATACATGCAGTCCTAAAATTACAAGCTCCACTGCTACTCCAGCAAATGACCCGAGAAGCCATCAAAGCCCGCGCCTCTCATGTAGTCCACGTCTCAGTGAACTAAAAGGAGAGATAAGTCCACGGGCAAGTGGAAAGGGGCCACGCAGTCCAAGGAATGGGGAACCAAAACAATCTAATCTGGGGAAGAGTCCTCTTAACCCAGCATCGAGTTAACAGGAATATTGTTGAATATTTTGATAAATCTGTTCTTAAGGAGTTTTTTTAAATGGTTTGGTCATTTCCCAGTCTTTGTTTTGCGTGTAATGGTTGGCTTGGCTTAGGAGCTTAGCAGTATTGTAAAATGTTCTCTCCTTCTCTTCTTCTTAAACCCCAACTTCATTTGTAACAACAGATTTGATTTGCTTTTCTTGCCAGAAATATATATATATATATATGTATATAATGGTTAATATATTTTTTTCTTGTAAGTGTTAGCCTATGTTTCTGCATTTTTGAAACTTTTGCACTCTGACATACAGAAACAAAAGGTTTCTCAATCACACCAAGAATTATGGAATTTGAAGATAAGATATTACTTATAAGAGCTAATTAAAAATATTAATTTAAGGACTAGATAAAAGTATCCATAATCACCATTCAATCTGATCAAGCACATTGAATGTTAGCCATGACAAGACAAGATGTTAGCATGCCAATCAGGTTTGTTCATTAAAACTACTTGAGGGAATCACCAAATTTACATGTGGAGAGGCCTGCAACAAATTGTTGCTGGTCAAAATATAAATATGTGATACAGTTTATTAATGTCATCCTCATAAATACCATGAATTTCTGCCAGTTTTCATACCTTTTTAAATGCATGTTGGAACATGCTCACCACCAGAAAATGGCTTCAAGTATCTTTGATGCCTTGTATGCAAAGCTTCTTCGAGAGAGTGCGTTCAAACGTAGAACTGTCTTGTCATTTCAACTGAAATGAAGACAACAGAAGGGTCAACCTTCCAATTCAATTATGAAAGCATGACAAGCAAGGAACAGAAGACAGCATTTTTCGACACCTGCTTGAAAAGAAAAAAGGTGCTTTTGGAATAGTTTTGAAGAAAAAGCAACGGCCAGCATTCTTTTTCCTGGCGAGCATGCGACTAAATTGCAGATATGAGGTCCTACATTCTCAATTCCAGGGATGAAACGTGGATGGAGTAGTGCTGTTTTCATAGCATTGACTTTGATGGGAAACATTCAAGTCTTTCATCATTACATTATGCTAATGATTTCAGTATCTTTGTCTTCGAGTATAATGCATCGAATGGTTCCAAAAAATAACTTACTTACCCAACATCATTTTTTGATCCTTTCCAAAAAGGAAATATTGCCGAACATCATCAATGTGAGGAAAACCAGAATTTGGTGATCTGAGTGAAGATTGGACGAAGCAGTTGACCATAACTGCGTGTGGCCAATGAAACATGTGGTCGGTAACATAGAAAGTTACTGCTAAAGAAAACACATTTGCATCTGGCTGTCCATCACTCTTTTCATCAAGAGCATTCCTATGAACCACAAGAATTCAATCATGAATTATGTTGTGGCCAGTGGAACTCTTTACTTTTTGGGTAGGGGAGGGGGTCGATGGAGGTGAGGGATTGGTAAAGAACATTTGGAGACCAAAATCAAACACTATCATCCATCAGATCATATCAGAAAAGAAAAGAAAATGGCAGATCAGACAGTTTACCACACGCCAATGTTTGATTTAAATCTATCAGATTATACATCATGAAAAAAAGTAGAGAATTTCTATCTGCGCATTCCAAGAAAATAGTGAGTTGTTTTTGCATAAATAATTCTGGCCTCTACTTTAGCATTAAACAGAGGATGGATAAAAGGATAAAAAGGGCTTCCAGTTAATTTGTCTGCATCCACGCATTCCTCAAAATGTAAACAGACAATCTTCAATGAAATGAAAACTATGACAGCAACTTCTGCACAATAATTATGTATTATTTGAAAAAAAAAAAAAAACAAGAAAAGCAAATATCATGGCAATAGGATAAACCAACTATGAAGATGAATAGATGTCTTAAAATTTTCATCACATCTTTTCTGGGTGATCAACATGAAAAAAAAAAAAAAAAGTAATTAGAGTAGACATCAAAGTGAAAGGTTGAGATCTAATTCTTGATGTCCCTCTGATTTGGTCTTCTGTTGTTCATTATTCTTGGAAGAAATAGGAAGAGTTGCAACATTAGTTGTAAGATGTGGATCCTCAGCAAAGTCTTCCCATTGGAATGATGGGGTCCAAGTTGATCTGATTTCTTTCTCTCTCGCTTTTTCTTTCTCCTTTGTGTCCTCCGATCCAATCAACATCTGGTTATGTGCATCTCGAATATTTCTAACCAAAGTGAAAAAAGTATTGATCTTCTCTTCTTCTTCTTCATCATCATTATCATCAACCGCTGGAGTCTCCTTCATCTTTCCTTCCATGTATTTTCTCTTCATCAAATCCCTCGTTTTGTTACATTGCTATTTCTTCAAGAACATTGGAATTTATACTTATAGCAAACGAATTGATAAGAGTTTCCAAGAAAAAAAAATGGAGAAGTAGGTAGAGGGACAAAAGAAAAGGAGATTAAGAGAATCAAAAGATTGTAACCTTAAAATGACCAAGCCATCCTTTAAACTCCCATTACAACAACCTTGAATTTGGACTTTAACACAAATAATTTGGTAAATTTCTGTGTAACCTAGAGAATCGGATGACTTATGTCCTAAAGGTCGGGATACTTGACATAGGCTGGCCTTATGTCACTTACAAGACATTACGTTATGACCCCTCCAAAACTGATCCTTTGCAATAAGCCACCGCAAATGTTTTAATTGACTAGGTTTAATATTAGTCAAAATGGTACATGTTTCTTTATCCCAAACCTAATCTATAAAACTTGAATATTTAACAAAATAGTAAATTGATGTATATCTTGCATTTTTTCTAAAAAAAATTGTTGATTAATTTTTTATTTAGCCATTGAAGAGCTTGTTGAAACTTGAGTTGGAAAACATGTTAACCTGTCATAAAACAAAAAAGATTAAATAAAATTACTCTTCAGTATTTGTATGCTAACAAGGGAAAAAGATCTAGAATAAAATCAAAAATGAAAAATTATATGAAAAGAACTTGTAATTTGCTAAAAAGAAAAAAAAAAAATATATATATATATATGTTTGATAATTGGTTCAAGATTTAGAGTTTTATTAAGAAAACCGGATAGTCAATTTAATTTTTATTAAATTTACATTATTGTAATTTAATCCTAACAAAACTATAAATTTTAAGGATTATAAGTAATGATTGGTAGGTTTAACATATAGATAAATAACAATATAATTTTATTTTTTTTGCAATCTTTAAAATTAAATTGTGAGTTCACATATAAAAATAAAAATAAATATAATTTTAATTTGAAGAGACCAATTTAAATTTATGTAATATATATATATATATATATATATATATATCTCGAGGGATTTTAAATTTTTGGAGGGTCGACTCGAGCTATTATGATGGTCCGCTTATATCTGAGGTAATACTTTAAAACTTGTCTCAATATTCAAGTCAGTCAGGTGTACAAAAAAGAGAGAAAATAAAGTAACAAGAGAGGAAACAAAAAAATGTAGAATAGAGGATGTTGCATGTCTGATTTGATCTTTTTTTTTATTCTTTCATTTAGTATTTGTCATAGATGATGGCATAGTTAGCATAATATGTGATCATCTATTTTGAAATCTGAATATTAATAATGTGACAATCAAAATATTATTGACGTGATTATCGAAATTACATATAGATATAACAAATTTAAATATTTTTTCTAAATAGCAATAAAAACAAGACCCAAATTCAAAACAAATTTTAATTATATTTTAGAATAATTAATAGTGAGTGGCCTAAATTAATTGTGCTTTTCCGTTCATAAAATATGTAATTTGGGGATGCTTTAGTTTGTGACTTATATGCAGCTGCAAAAACGAATCCGCACCATGCTAAAATACAAATGGGAAAAACATGGTTCTCCATTGCTTTATTCCTCATGGTAATACACATCTCAATCATGTAAAAAGCTTGTGACAAAAGTATGATCATTCCTCACAGAATTCTTGTGACCCACCCGCCTGGTTTTCTTCACACTCATACGTAACCAATTCAATCATCCTAATTAAGAAAGATGCAAAGTGCTAGAAAGACAAAATATGTACCAAAGAAAGATTCTTCTTGTCTTCCTCCTTTTCCTTTTTCCTTTTCCTTTTGGTTCCTTCTGTAAATTCCTATTAACGCTATTGGCACATGGCAATGATAAATGGGCCAACCAACTGTAGCTCATTGGAATGAGCATAATTTTAACATGAATACCCAACACGGTCCCAGTTTCAGATTTCTCATTGAAAGGCCCAAATTGGTTTGGACAACAGAACAATGTGGTTGAATTTCTTCAGATCCAAATCAAATTTAGCCCGATATGTTGGACTGCATAAAACTCAACTTGGACTCTCCACTAAATTAAAGCTTGATTTCTTTTTTTTCTTCTTTTTCGTTTCAATTTCGGCTCATTGCAAAATAACTCCTAGGTTGTACTCAGATTTTAACTTGTTAAGTCGGTTAGTGAAGTCAACCTTTGGTCGTTTAATAAGCACACGCCAAATTGTCACGTTATCTTTCTTTAAAAATAGACTCTTCTTTCATCGAGGAATAACTCACCCAACACTTCACTGATGTATTATTAAGATATTATTTTACAATTAAATATTTAATCTTTAATTTATCTATAATCGTTAAATAAAATATATATTTATCTGAAACAAGGATTGCAATCATTCACATAAATTATCCTCAAATTTCATTTAAATTTATTATTAAATATCATCTGTTTTAATCAAATCACCATCATTAATCTTTTATATATATACAGTAAAGAGGAGACTCAAATATATAAAACGCAAAATTTAAGCCTTTTTTTTTATTATAGCTTTATACACACCTTATTTTTTTTCCCTTAATTTTAAATATTTTGTTAATTTAAAAGTCAGAACGTGTTTCAAAAAATTAATAACAATTTGTTTTTATTTTTTTCTTTTAATTATTAACTCATATTATTTTATCTTTAACTTCTTATTAATTCTCTCTAGTTAAAACACTAAAAAATATCATCAACATAACGAGTTCAATTCGAATCCCTCCAAATCCCCAATATGAAATAAAATAGATTAACCTCTTTTGTATATTATAATGTTATATATATTAAGGGAAGTCTTTACGAAAATTGTTAAGGGGATTTTTGTAATTGAACCTTCCTATCGCATTTTCAAGTTTCTATCTTCTTTCTAAACGCCAGTCGGTTGGCCGAATTTGGAAATGACACAATGCCAACAATAGTAGCGGTTGTAGAGGTGGCCCCATTAGTGGAAGTGAGGCCCATAAAGCAGGGCGGAATTTGTCCAAACCAAATCAACTCTCGCTTTGACTTGCCACCAATAAAGTTACCAAACCTAAATTGGTTGCAAATTTGTTAGGTATAATGACATCAGCTGAACCTCACGTCATACCTTTGAAATTGATTTGCGAACTCCAATTGCATAGAAGATTAATTTCCACAAACAAAGCTTTCAATTTTGAATGCAGAAAATATCATCAAAGAAGTTGAACAAATTAAGCTTCCTACTACTACTTACATAGGCTCACTGGCACACGCCACGAGTAGGGCTCTGGGAGGAGAGCTAAATTTGTATGCATCCTTTTGAAATCTTAATAATTTATATATTTATGTAATATAAAATATTAATATTAATTTATTTATATAATATTTTATATAAAATTATATGTTATATAAATATAAAAATATAAATTTTTTATTTTATTAAATTTATAAATAATTATTATAAAAATTTTAAATCATATTATTTTCATGTTTTTTTTATATGTATTGTAATTATGTTATATTATCATATTACATTTTTATATTATCAAATTTAGTTGATGGTAAATATTAAAATATTTCTTAAAAAATAAATCAATAATTATTGAAAAAATAATATTAAATTAGATTAAAATTCAAATATATTTCAATATATAATGACTTATTTTATTTTAAATTATGAATCTCTTTTGGACATAAAAAAACTGTTTTTCAGATGACCATAGGCATCCTAACTTTCTTCTTTTATTTTTGGAATCAACTTCGAAATCTTTTTCTTATGCCATAATTTTTTTTATTGGCATTAAGAAAATGAAAAAGAGAGAATAGGAAGATGTAAGTTCCACGAGCGCCTCCCATTTCTATCAAGCACAAAAGTGAAATACTTGAACTTGTTTTTCCAATTTTAAATCTTTATTCAAAGTTTCGAATATTCATTTTCATCCCTTTTCGACCGCCCATAATTTTGAACTTTTTGAACGTAAAGTTTGTTTTAATGTTTTATACTAAAGAACTTTACCTTCATTATAATGCTAATTAATAATCATCATTCTTTTAACAAAATTTAAATATCAAATAAAAAATTAATTTACAATAAATAAAAAAGGCTCAACTTTAATATAAAATTATAAAAAATGTAATAGTTAACAGATGTGAAATAATTAATATCATTTTAACAAATATTTATCACGTGTAAGTGAAAATAAAAACTTATTAAATGATAAATTTAAAGGGAGTTACACACAAAAATAACATATAAGAATAATATAACAAAAGATAAATTTTGATATCATGTTAAATACCAACTTAAAAACAATTGATGATAAAATAAAAACCAAACTTAAATATAAAATTATAAAAATTTTAATATTTATCCACTTGCAAAATTTTAAGAGTACAAATACAAATTTGTATTATATTTTTTTATTAAAATCAAACCTGATGATTTATATATTCGTATTATATAAATTACTTAAATTCGTATATTCATTCGTGTATTATTTTAAAATTACGTAATAAAATTTATATCAATAAAAACATAAAATATATATTTTTTATTTTATTAATTTATACATCGTTATTATTATAATTTTAATCATGTCACCCCATCATTCTATATTTTAAATTAATAAATCTAATTAAAACTAATTGTTTCCAACCTGGCAAAAAAATAATAATAATTGCTTCCAGACTTGGACAGTGGGATTGGGATATTAAAATTCTTGTCACTACATTCCAGAAGACAGAAAACAGAATGAATGTTGGGGACCCGACATCCACAGGGCTTGAAATGAAATTACGATTAAGAAACGTGGATAAGAAATTGATTGGGATTTAGCATTTTAGCAGAATGATGGTTGAATTTGAACTACAGATGAAAAATATCTGGACACATGGTGTCCTACGCTTATTGAGACTACAAGAAAATACTCTGTTGTCTGAGTAATTCTGACGAAACAAACCAAAACAAATCCCTTGTCATACCCGCTACGTTCTTCAATCAAGATTTTATATGAAACCTTAACTTTCAACGTTAAACGAAGTGGACGCTAGCTTGACGCAACCCACCTCTTGAATTTTTTTCTCCACTTTTGGTTAATGAAATTCAATATCAGATTTAATCTCTAAACAGAAACCTCTTTTAAAGATTGAACACTTATCATCAAGAACAAAATAATACATGATAAAGCAGAAAGTTATTTTCTTTTAAAGCACTTAGTAATTAACATTGTTTTGAACGAGGAAAAGCCGAAGCTAAAGGGCGAGCTTAAGATCTAAACCATCATCTTCTTCTACTCTTTGTTTTTTCTTATCATCTTTTTTGTTGTATGGGCTTGGAAAGATAATAGGTGGCCTTCGAAAGTCAATCTCCTCAGTAAAATCTGCCCATTCAAATCTTGGAACCCAACTTGATTGCTCATCGTTTAACCTCCTTATCTTGTTTTGCTTCTTCGTACTTACGTCGTGATCCCTTTGTCTCAGTTCATCTTTTCTCCTATTACGAGCCTCGTGGAAATTCCTTATCAGGGCAAAAAACTGCTCCATCTTATGATCTTCTTGCTCCTCCTCATCTTCACCATTACAAACATGGCTTCTCTTCTCGGCTGCCATGTGAAAACGAAAAAAAAGGGGAAATTTCAGAGATATTAAAAAAAAAAAAACTCGTTTTTTCCGATAGCCGGTAACAGTAGGCCGAAACTGCCCGTACAAGTTTTTCTCTGGTGTTTTCTTTTCTGCTTACAAATCGTTCAACTTTGTCCACCTATTTATACAGGAGAGGGAATATGCCAATTTGGCTCGGTCAGCTTCAAAAAGACTGATTTACCCTGCCGGCCAAACTTATCAGGGTTGGGTTGAATATCTGAGAGTCGAGAGGGTCATCTTACAGAAACCCAGCGTAACTCACGGGGCCATAAAAGTAAAAAAGGGGAAACGACGCGTGAACTGATCAGTCGCCTGCGTTAATGATGACATGGGTGTGATGTTGATGGCATGGTTACGTAAAAGGCAGCAAGAATGTTGACGTAACTTAGATGACGTAATATCAAACCTTAAACAAAAGGCTGGCCTTTTGGCTTGCGTTTCTTGCCATCCTACTGATAGCTGATTCGTAATGCACAATGATTTTGACCACTACACCCATATCCCCCCATGCTACCGTACTCTGTTTTAGCCTTTTTTTTTTTTTTTTTTCCGCGGCTAATAAATCATAAAGTTAAAAAAAAATCCAATCTTTTTTAATACCCCCGAAAATTTAATAACACGCCTACCTATCTTTGCTTGAATCAAAGTCGATTGTAAAAAGTCTTCACTAGTTGAAAAAAAGAAAATATTAGAAAATTAAAACCAGTTTATAAATGAACAATTTATGAATTCATGAAGTCAGTTATTTATGAGATATAAATGAGAAATACGTATTCAAATATTTAATTTAATAATTAAAGCTTAAACTTTTTTATTCAAAGAGTACTAGGATTCAAATCTTCTTTTAAAAAAATAAAAAATATATTTATCATATAATATAGATTTGTGGATCTATTACTAGATATAAATTAAATGAGTCATCATTAATTTTTTATTAAAGTACGATTAATCATCTAATAGAATCTATTCAATTTAAAAAAGAATCTCAAAATTTACTTAAATATTTTTAAATAATAAATTTTAATCTACAAAAATTAAAGCTTTGGTTCGAAAATATGGTTATACATAAAATATTATAGCACTATCACAATATCTATCTAAAAGATGGTCGCAATTTGATTTTAAATTATTCAAGCTTTAAAATATTTGTATTATTTTACCAATAATTTAATTATTGAAAATTAATCATAAATTCACTTCAATAGTTTGATAGTAATTTCAAATAATTTTCTTATCTAAAAAATATTCATGGAGACTAGTGTCTCACTCTGAAGATGTTTTTTCGTCGAATTCATTTAATTTATTTTATTTAAAAAATAATCAACAAAATCTTTTAATAATTTGGTAAGATTTTACTTTGATACAAATCTCTCAATAGTTTGATAAGATTTTATTTAAAAATTATTTATAAAATTTTACTTTAAGAAAATATATTAAATCTTCCAATAGTTTGCTAATATTTAATTCAAAATTTTGATTCTCCAATAGTTTAATAGAATTAAAAAATATATTATTTTATTTTATTTAAAAAATTCATTATGTACTCCAATAGTTTGGTAATATTTTACTTTGATACAAATCTTTCAATAGTTTGATGAGATTTTATTTAAAAATCATTTATAAAATTTTACTTTGAGAAAATATATTAAATCTTCCAATAGTTTGCTAAGATTTAATTCAAAATTTTGATTCTCTAATAGTTTAATAGAATTAAAAATATTTATTATTTTATTTTATTTAAAAAATTTATTATGTACTCCAATAGTTTGGTAAGATTGTAAATTTTTATTTTTTAAAACCTTTTTTTAAATTTTAAAAAAAATCAAATAAAATAAAAATTATCAAGCAAAATAATATTATGCAAATAATAATATAATATCATGCAATAACAATATGATATCATGCAATTAATATAAACTATCATGTAATTAAGATAAAATATCATGCAAATTAATTAATAATCATGCAAAAATGAATCACACAAACAAAATCATGTTAACAAATATATCAATAATCATGCAATTAAATAAAATATATAATCATATCATGCAAAAATTAAATACGAAAAATATGAGAATAAAAACAAAGTAAAAAAATAGAGAAACAAAAAATCAAATCAAATCAAAATCAAAATTAGAAAATAAAAAGAAAATAAGAAAACCTGTGATCAAGTTAGGCTTGAAGTGCGAATCTTCATGCGGATCATCGGGTTCACGCGAAAACTTCAAACTTCAACTGAAAAGTTCATCCCAAACCTAAAAGTTTCTAGATTATTGAAAGTCCAACAAAAATCCCATAATAAAAAACCAATAGAAAATCTCAGTAAAAATCTGATAAACCTAACAGAATATTAAATAAAACTCAAAAATTAAAACCCAAATTCAAAAAACCAAAAAATAGATCAAATCAAACTCAGAATGAAATAAAATCACAAAACTAAAAAAAATCTCAGAATTTGCTTGAATGATTCCTTCTTAAAATTAAAAAAAAAATAGAAAACTAAGATCTCTAAAATTTTATTATTTTCTCCCCACTTTGTGTATGATTCTTATTTATTTTATAAGGATTGAATCACTTTAATTTGAAAAATAAATCAAATTGATTACGATTTTATTGAGATTTTGTAATATGTGATTTGATTTTGAGTTTCTTCTTTTACAGGATGTGCATAAATCAAGCCAAAATCCCTCGTTTTTTTTTTATTATTATTATTTTTAACTTTTTTTTAAATAAGAAAAATTAAAATAAATAAATAAATCAAATGAAATTAAATTAAAATTGAAAATTTTATTAATAGGCCTGAAGCTTCCCAATCAAGCATAATTTTATGGTCGAAATCTATTTTTTATTCTAAAAAAGTTTTGAACAATACAGTGTCTACAGTTGCTCTTATTTATACAGTTTCTGTTAAATTGGAATGGTTCAAAGACAAAAAAAAAATCTATTTTATTTGGGTTAAAAATACTAAAAAAAATTAAAATAAAAAAATTCACAATTTGAAAATTCAAAGGTTTACAAAATTTCAAATATTTATAAAGCTCTATAACAAGAATTGAAAGATTCTAGGACTCCAATCCAAAATTCATAAAAAATTCATAACGATTTCAAAATTTCAAAGATTCAAGATTCGCAAAAGTTTTCAGATTCATAAGAATTTCAGGTTTTGCAAAGATTCCAAAAGTTTATAAATGATTCAAGATTCTCAGAGGTTCTAGAATCACAAAGATTCTAAGTTTTGCAAAATTTTCATATTTGCAAGATTTCAAATTTTGGAGAAATTCTAAATTCATAAAGGTTTCAGATTTGTAACAATTTTCAGATTCACAAGAATTTCTAAGTTTCACAAAGGTTTCAAGTTTCGCAGAGATTTCAGATTCGTAAAGTTTCAAATTTGTAAGAATTTAAAATCACAAGAATAGATGATTCACAAGGTTTTTAGATTTGGAAGAATGGAATATTCGTTAAAAATATCATTCCACAAGAATTTCCAAATTGGCAAGAGTTTCAAATTCTCAAAATTTCAAGTTTGCAATAAATTAAAATTTTGAATTTCAAATTTGTAAGAACTTAGATTCGCAAGAATTTTAGGATCACAAGAAATCAAATACTCAAATTTCATATTTGTAAGAACTCATATTTGCAAAAATTTCAAGTTCAAAAGAAATCAAATATTTGAATTTCAGATTCATAAAAACTTCGGATTCATAAAAGTTTCAATTTCACAAATATGGAAGATTCACAAAGATATAAGTTTCGTAAAAACTTCATATTCGTAAAACTTTCAAGTTCTTAAGAATTTAAGGTTCACAAAAGTTTTAAAGATTCTTAAAAGATTCAGGTTCGCAAAAATTGATTGATTTGCAAAACTTTCATATTCATAAGGATTTCATATTTGCAAAAATTAAAGATTCGTAAAACTTTCAGATTTTTAAAAACTTCAAATAAAATATTCATAAAAACTTTAGATTCGTAATAATTTCAAATTTGTAAAGATTTAAAATTCAAAGATTTGCATTCAAATGATTTAAAATTTCATATATAAAATTCATGAATTCATATCAAAGATTTCATAGTTCATAGCCAAAATTCTCATTTGAAAATTTTTTGCTTTTACATCCAAAAGTTAAAATTTTTTTTCAAAAAACTTAGAGATTCACATAAAAAATTTCAAAAATTCACATTTAAAAACTTTAATATTTCACAATCAAAGTTTCAAAGATTCTCTTCTAAAAAATTTTAGGGTTTCATATCTAAAATTTTAAAGATTCACATCCAAAATTTTAAAAATTCTCATTCGAAAAAAGGCTCATTTAAACAAATGCTTTTATGACTTTAAAAGTTTGAAAATTTTTCTTTACTAAAAAAATCTCACCATAAAATATCTTCTTAATTAGAGGATTCAAAAGTCAAAAGTTTTCTCTAATCAAAGTCAAATTCTTATATGCGACAAATGTCATGCAAATGCCTTTTAAATAATGCAAATGTAACAATCCAGATTCTCATTAAATGATGTAAATACATCTCTTAAACAATAATACAAATATCATACTATGATTCAAATGTTTACTACATGATATGACTGCATGCCCCAACTATGATGCAAATGCAATGTTCAAACAATGATTTAGATACTCATCAAATAACACAGATGCATGGTACAAACAAATAATGATACAAATGCAATATTTAAAATAATGGTTTAATTATCCACCAAATAATGCAAATGCATGGTCCAATCAATTATGCAACTTAGAAATTTCCCAAATGATGCAAATACATATCCAAATAATTTTACAAATGTAATTATCATAACAAGGACTTGTATATTTACCAAATAATACAAAAACAATTATCAAAACAAAGCATTTTTGTTGCCTTAAAAAAGTCAATCTTGTCATATTGATTTGAAAATCAATTTTTTAGCATCCATCAAAATTCATATATACAGCACTACGAATTTGAAATTTTTCAAAAACTCCTAAAAGAATAACAATCAATTGCCCCAAAAATTATCCCACACATCATTTTTTCATGACCAAAATGTATCAACTTGTGACATTTAAATCTCTTGAAAATTGATGATTACTACCCAAAATGAATTAGGAGA